CTTTTTTTTTTTTTAAAGATTAATTGATTTATGCATACAAGAACTAGGGTACAGGCCAGAAGTGCGGGGGGGTGGTGTGGGGAGAGGATTCACCAGAGACAGAGTGGGGAGCAGAACAGGCAGATCGACTGAAATACAGCGGGCGTGTCAGAAGAGATCTGCTGCGCCATGTGGGTCTACCTCCCTGGCCGGGGATCAAACTCGTGCTACAGTGGCTGCGATGGCTGCAGATTGCTTCATAGTGCTGATGGCTTAACCCTGTGCACCACCAGGGAGGCCCCTAAATTTTCCTTTTGGCGTGTTCCTGCTTTAAAAATAAAGTATCCGATTTGGGGGCGACAAAGAAATTTCCTGCGTCTTCAGTTGGGTGGTGATTGTGCAGAAATATACACTTCTCAGAACCCACCAACTGAATGCCTAAGAGTTGCATTCTCTTGTATGTTAATTATAGCTCAATAAAAAAATAAAACATACAAACAGCATACCTATGTATTTTACTAGGTAAAGCTCTTGCTATTGTGCCACAGCGTTTAGAATATATCATTGGAAATGAGTGGAGATGTGAGTTATATCACCTAAAGATATGATTGACTCATATAAATACAATATAAATAAATATAAATAAATGCAATCATTATAAATTGCATTTGAGTTTTTATTCTAAGATTAACTAAAATATTTATAATATTAAATGTTATACTAGTATGTATATAAAAGGAAAAGTATATTATTAAATAAAAATCCTGTTGAATAAGAAGTGATACTATTGAACTAACAATCCATTAAATGTATTTTTATATATACTTACTATATATTATGTCAAAATATTAAAATGCTATATTAAAACAAGGAAGTTATTTACACACAGACACACACACTCACCAAGTTATAGCTGCCAAGTCAACGCTGCTTTACAATATCCTCAAGCAGTTTATAAAATTCTTGTTTTAGGTTTTCTCTCTCCCCTATTTATTCTGCAGCAAATTGGAGTCGCAGATTGAGCTGATCACTCAGATTCCACTTCCCAGTTAGCCTGTTTGTGCCTCTGGGGGCAGTAACCGCTTCTACACTCTCAAAGAAAGAACTCCTTAGAGTCTAGATAATTTTGTTGCAGAAGCAACTTTCCCCTCCGGAAGCACCTGACTCCCACGAAGCCCTCTGTAAAGGCGCTGTGAAGCCATTTAGGTGGCCCCGGTGCACTGCGCCCCAAGCCTCCCAGGGTGCAGCGACCAGGACAAGCAATTGCACCTAAGTGATTTCCCAGAGCCAGCCCGTGGGGGTGTTGGGGAAAGCACTGGTGTGATTTTCTTCTGCCCTCTTTATCAGCTCTGGCTCAGACACAGCTGGAGTGGGAAAGAGGACAGGGAGAAGTTAGAAAGTTCGAGGAGGCCCTCCCTGGTGGTGCAGGGGTTAAAGACACAGCGCTATCAAGCTATTGGCAGGCTCTGCGGCATGAGCTCAATCCTGGGCCAGAAGCAACCCACAGGGCGCAGCAGACCTCTCCTGTCTGCCTCCTGCCCTCCTCAGCAGTGGATTTCAGTAGATCCGTCTGTTCTGCTCCCCACTCTGTCTCTGGTGAATCCTCTCACCCCCCCATACCTCTGGCCTGTACCCCAGTTCTTGTGTGCATAAATAAATCTTTAAAAAAAAAAAAGGGGTCTTCACACAACATCCTGCATCTTTCCAAAAGCAGCCACAAAACAGGAGCTGGGCGCTGAGTCCTTTCTGTTCCCAAGTTGGGGGAGTCCACAGAGGCGGGGTGGAGCTCAGCTTTTGGGGACAGACAATGCTGAGCATGGCCTTCATCGCACAGCCTGTGTGACCTGAGTCAGTGTGGCCAGGTCCTGGCTTGTCCCCGAGTCTTGGTTTCCTGATTTGCAAAACGGGGCAGCTCTACCTGCCCTGCAGGCTGGCGCGCGGACTAGAACAAAAAGCACAGACAGGGTTACTGCAGTTCTGTGGGTAGGAACCGGACAGCGGTGAGCTAGTCTTGGCATCAAGCACCGCCACGCAGGACAGGCCTGGCCTCTGCCTGCCTGCAATTCTCAGCAAGTGCCCGGGGCCTCCATCTGCTTTGACTCCTAAGAAAGAAGAATTGAGGGTCCGCCCCTTACCATTTCCTACTTGGGGTTACTGGTGCTCGCGGGAAGAGGGGTCTCTCAGACAGATGTTCTTCCAGGGCCTCCCCGGTGGCGCAGCGGTTGAGCGCTGGGTTGCGAAGCTGCCCGCAGCCTCTGCAGCGCCTGTTCGATCCCCGGCTGCTCCCCGGCCACCAGAGGAGGGTCCCGCATGGCCCGCAGACCTCTCCTGCCGCCCGCTGCTCCCCTCAGCAGTGTACTTCGGTCCTTCTGCCTGCTCTGCTCCCCGCTCTGGCTCTGGTGAATTCTCTCACCCTCCCGCGCTTCTGACTGTACCCAGTGCATGTATAAACAAAAAAAAAAAACAAATAAATAAATAAAAACATGCCTCTATAAAATAAATAAAAAAAAAAAAAAAAAAAAAAAAACACCCATTCAGATGTTCTTCCAGGTTTTTGCTAGGCCAGGGGTTCAACCAGCCGGGGGTAACCCAATCAGCGTTGTTACACTCAGGTACTTCCCACAAGCCAGTCCTTCCCACAAGGACCTTATCTCAGTAGGTGAAAAGAAGACCATTTTCAAGCCTTCGCCCAAGGCAGCCCTCTCCTGAGGGTTAACCAAGAAGCGGGCAGCTTGGCGGGGCTTATGATTTTGGGGATTACCCTGGTTCTGAAAAGCAGAGGAGCATTCTTATTTGCTACTGTGAGGGGCAAAGAGGCCGCAGGCAGAGGGGAACCCAGCACACGGGAGAGCTTCAGTCACGCTCGGGCCTAACGGAGCCAGGAATCTCGCCAAAGAGAAAGTGCAGGGTTGGCAGCCGGCGAGAGATTCTGTATGGACTTTTAGGAAAGATTCTGGGCCAGAGCACGGGGCCTCCTCCTTGGGGCCAGCTGAGTTCTGGCAGCACCCCCCCTCTCCTGGCCCAGGCAAATTCCCACATAACTGAGACCGAGTTGGGGGGTGGGGGGCGGGCTGGAGGCTCGGTGCTCCTCCGGCTGCCTGCAGCAGCCTGAGCCTTCTGCAGTGAGCCCCGCTTGGGATCCCAGCCAGTGAGTGTTGATTTTCCGCAGCATGGAGACAAATGCAATGAAGCTGTTTTCCTGAGGCATGCATTTTGGAAAGAAGATTTTAATTTTTTTCCCCAAGGACAGGTGGGGCAGGGAGGAGGGGAGCCGTGACGTGGCCCTCCTACTGCGGTCCTTTCTGCAAAATCGTTCTGGGCTCATGGTTTCCGCATGAACATAAACTAATGAGCTAGAATGCGTGAGTGGGCACCGCTCAGGCTAAGTCTTTCACAAAGGATAATTCCTGGAAAATGCAGCTGGAGGACCCTCTGGCTGCGTGTGATAAGTCAGCGCGTTTGTTCTGCGCTGGAGTGTTGCCAAGAGGGACTCTCCTCGTTTCTCCTAGAATTTTCCACTTACTCTTCTTCACTTCTAGGGCTTTCTCTGTGATCTGTTCTGCCCCAGAAATTAGTTCTCCTTCCTCCTTTGCAGTTAGCACCAGCGCCTTCTGGTGCTAAGCCTTATGGTAATGATGTAAAACAATCCAGGCAAATTCCTCAAGTGGTGGAAACACCCTATTCTTTTAATGGCACTCGGCTGCTGTCAGTCCTCTAGGGAAGGTTCAAACTTTTTGCCTGTTAACTGGGCCACAGCCCAGGGAGCGAGTACTTCAAATCAGGAATCGATGCAGCTGGAGGCAGTCTCCGTGGGCTCCTTTCTAAATAAGGGTTAGTCCGGGACCTGCTGCTCCTTTCGGTAAAAGGCATCTCCACCGAGGTCAGGTCGGAAATTGTGTCTCCTCGCCCACCTTTATGCTCAGCGCAATCTTTTGAAAGGAATTGAACCATCCATCATATTACACTAGGGTCCTGGGCATCGTAAACCTTCAGGTTCATTGCAGGCGATTTCACGGACTCCCCCACCCTGGACAAACCTCTCTGCATTTATTTTGAGGCTGAACCTGAAAGGAGTTTTGGGTCAGCGGATTTAGAACACGGTCTGAAAAGAAGCAAAGCTGCTTTAGTTCACTTAGTGTGCTTGGTAATTAGCCTTGGAGTAACAAATGTTATCTGCACCAGGCAGCTCCGTGCCAAGTACCGAAACCACATTTTCCAGATGATTCCAGTGAGGTTTCTGACCCAAACAATTCAGCATTAGGCCTCAAAGACCAGTCATCTTGTATAAAACAACAGATCGTTCCTCTCTTTCTGGCCTTCTTTAATGCAGCAAGAATGCAAAATCCAGATTAAGAACCAACTGCAATGCTCTCTAAGCTTCCAGAATTACAGCGAGAGACTGCTCAATATGAAAAGTCTATGAGCCAGAGTCGGAAATAGTTTTGGCTTCTGGAAGGACAGCTTTCAAAATGAATGTCTGATTGAACCTACTGTCATAGTGAGCATTCAGAGAGCACATGTGAGTTTCAGGGGTAGGGTAAGGAGGGTTGTCATGTAGAGGTAAATGGAAACTGTCATTATAAAATCAAGAGGGTCTGGAAGAGGCCCTACCTCTCCCCACCCCCCAAAAGTAAAAAACAAAAACAAAAACAAAAAAACACAACAAAGCAGCCTTATATAACCTCCTGAAGTCCCCTAATGCACCAATGCGAAGAAGAACGTGTTTTGTTTACATGTGGGGAAAAAACTGGAGAAGAGACATTACCTGGCCCTGGAGTAAAACAGAACTTGTAGGGTAAAGAAAATGTCAGGCTTTTCTGCCCTTCCGCCATCAGGATAGATGATGGATCCTTGTCCTGAATGCATGCCTGATGGCGGGCACCTGGAATAGGGTGTGGGCATAGGTAGATGGGATTCAGCTGAGCTAAGACTGTGCTTTTTAAGGGCAGCGTCACGGGGGGATGCCAGCAGCACCAGTAGCAGCAGTAGAAGCCGAAGCAGACGCCGAAAGAGAAGCTGAGAAGCAGCAGAACGAACGCCAGAGAGTCCAGATAGAGTGAAGACTTGCTGGGGGCTGGGAGGCTGGCAGGCCAGCACCCCTGCCTGCCATATGCCTGGAGAACCCCAAATAAAAAACCTGCAAAACTACTGAGGACTCTGACTCCTCCTTTACCCGGTCTGCATGGGATCAGAAAACCTGCACCGTGTCCAGTCCTGCCCTTACAGAACTCCTGATGGCAAAGTCTTTTTACCCTATTACTCCTTCATTCTCTGCGGTCATTTAAACATTCTAACTTTCAAAGCTGCATCTGTTGCTGTGTTCACTACACAGATGCGCTAGGACTCCCGTGCAGGAATATCCGCCGGTCAGAACAGAGGCCTGGCCGGCAGCAGAGGCCAGAGAACACGCTGGCTTCCTAGACTGGTTTAAGGGGATGGCCAGGTCTGGGTAGTTTTGATGTTCGCAGGCATCATTAAGGAGCCTGGAGCTGGTTCTTAAAAAGACTCCTGAAAATTTTCCCTTCCCCTGCCAAGTGAGAAGCAGAGCAGCAGAATCACCGCGACAGTTAATACAGCATGATCCTGGAGACAACAAAACCGCTTTCCTCAAATGCTGAGTGACTTTCCTTTTTTTGCATGAGCCCGTGGACTTCATCACACCCGCCAAAATTTGCCACCAGCCCGAGCAATGTGGCACCATACACAGCAGCCAAGTCTCTAGGGTAGTGTTTGTAGCTGGTGTATCCCGACTGCAATGGGAGAGGGGTTTCCAAGAGATGACAGAAGGTTGTTCATTCGTGACTTGCCAAATTCTCCACACTCGACTGACTGGCTGTTTAAATCAGTTTCTCAGCGCTTCTGATGAGGACAACTTCAGCATGCGAGCAGGGAGGGGTAGTTGCTTCAGTGCTTGGTACTGCCCATTTGTGCCAGTTTCCTATAATGAAACCACCCCGGTGCCGGGCCCGGGAAAAAAAGTCCCAGGTCGCTTTCAGTTTGCAAAAGAGTTATGTGCCGGGTCTTCTCGACCCACCAAATTCAGGTCGGTTTCCCTAGTCTGTCTCCGGTTCAGTGACATTTTACTAGCGCGGGCAGTTGGAGCAAAGGGGCAGAGAGACAGGCATCCTGGCTGCGCACTAACTTGCTGTGGGGTTGACTTATAGGCTGCTTTTTAAAATCCAGACCACCGACACTTTCTTAGATGATTTAAATCAGCTTCTCAAGCAAATGTCAATCAGAGAGAAACACATTTCACACCGGGCGAGATCATTTCAAAGTTTGGTTATTTTAATGTGATTTCATTGTTCAAGGTAGTATGGATATGTTAAGTGGTTCACTTGCAACCAGGAAAACACTAACAGCTTCTATCTTATGTAATTTTGTCAAAATCAAACAGGACTCTGACCATTAATTTTTTGTTTTCTTTACATATCTTGGTAAGGTTTTTTTTTTTTTTCCTGGAACAATTTCTTAAACCTTCAAGTAGTTTGGAAACATTTGCCTAGTTGCTCATTCCTCTGAGCCCAGCCTTTCAGAACATTTATCCCACCTGGACTGAAAAGCTCTCTTCTCCCAGCTGGTGGCAGGGCTGCTTGATGGAGGTGATCACTGAGAAATGAGGATCAAGCAAGCTTTGCAAACTACTTCCAATTCTCTTAATTAGTATGCTGCGATCCACCCCAGCTTCCACAAGGTCAGACAGGCAAAACAAGTACTTGGCCAAAAAAGCAAGATTCTAACTAGTGTAAAAATAGATTTTAAATAAAATAGAATCTCTATAGGAAAGAGAATTAAGTTACTACATTCCCACCCTTGCTTTAGGACATCTGTGTGTATTTATATATGTAGGTCCAAGAGGGACTTAGAGAGTTGGTCTGCCCTAAGTAGAAATTGAGAATGTCTGAGTACATTCATTTTGCAAAGTTACAGGTAAGGTTCTTTGGGAAATGCCGCAGCACATCCCTCAACAACGAATGGTTAGCGACACAGCTGGTGCGCCCACAGGTTAACATGTAAGACGTCAGGTCAAAGGGAATGAGGCCGAACCAAAGGCTATAAAACATTTCTGGAAGTGTAATACCTTGAAAACTTTGGCTAGTTATAAGAAGAAAAAATAAAACCAAACCAAACCACCCCAAGCCCATCATTTCACAGTATGTCCCTTAACCATCCAGCTACCGCTTTTGCGAACTGACTTGTAACGCAGATCTTACATTCCTTGTGCTCAGTCACTGAGTATGACAAATTATTGGATGCTTAGGTTTCTCGAGAAAGTACACAGCCCCTCTGTTGACCCTCAACGAGCACTGCAGGCCGCTGTAAAGGGGGCTCTGTTAAAATTCTGATTTTCAGATTGAGAAACAGCCTTTGGTTCTATCTTGAAAGCATAACTGAAAATCTGCCCAAGCTCCCTCTAGCCGCAACCTGAACACACCGCCCAGTCTTTTGTAAACATTCAGAAAATACTGATCCCAGCAAAATACACAACCAGCGAGGCAGAGACCGCCCTCCACATCTTCACACGGCTGGCAAATGTGCCTGCTTATTCTTGCTAGACGTGAGGAAATCCACTCTGAGATTCGACTCTTGGAGCCACTACTGAGCCTCCTTCTTACAGGAGATTCATAATGGAGTGTGGAGCCACCATAAATAAACCAACGGAAACGCCACCATTTTTCTACACTGGGTCTACTTGGTCTGCCCTCGGTTGTTTGCTTTTCCTGGCTGGTTCCAGAGCAAGAAGAGGCGGCTGCTGGTGATAGGCCAGTGCCTGGGTTACAGGCCCAGCCTCTTCATGTAACATTCAACCAATTCTTCAATTCCCTAGAGGGGGGGAGGGAGGGAAGACAATGATGAGACTCATGCTAGGGACATTTCATAAACCCTCAGCAGCCAGTGGGAACCTCACCTTACAGCAGCTGCTATGAGCTCAGAGAGGTTTGGTGCTTCTGTGCGAGGTAATGTTACCTTTGAGGTTACCAAAAAAATCCAATGTCTTAAAGCCCCCAGCAGTGAAGGTCAAATATGCCAACTCAATAAATACAAAGGAAAAATGCACGGCAGAGTGGGGGCATCTGTCAAGTAGGAAGGCAAAATGGTCATCAGAATGTCTGAGGTTAGTGAACATTACAGCTGAAAAGAGCAGCCACCTCTCCAGACAGTCTGTGTCCAGCAGCTCCCCGAGCCGGCGCCCTCTGCACCCGCCACACCACACACTAGCAAATGAAACCCCAAACAACTGCGGCTTGATCCTCACTTGTGCTTATTCGGGGTCCACCCTCACATTTAGCTGAAGGCCCCAGCACACCCTCGCCATGCCTGGGCAAAGTCTCAAGGACGGCCATTTCTCTAAAGGTCACTTGCCCCTCTTGCTGCGGCCCTTCCTGGAGGGCAGCTTCCCACTGCTGCCCGAGGGTGGGGGGCTGGGGGCCGCGGCCATGGCGATGTTGATCTGTCCCTCCTGGATCTCCTGCCGGGTCTCTGCCGGCAGGTGGTTGATCTTCTGCTGCGCCTCCAGGTAGAACATGACATCTCGCAGCTGCTCCTGGATCTCGGTGATCTGCAGATCCTTTTGGTCGCAGGCCTCCCTCAGAGCCCTCTCTTCTTCCTTCAGCTTGTTCTGCAGCAGGACCTGGTTGGCGCGCAAACATTTGTTCATTTCCTGCTCCTCTTTGAGTTCGGAGGTGAGTTTGGCCACTTTGGCGTTCAGCTGAGCGCACCTTTCGGGAACAAAGAAAGACAAATGCGCGTTTTTTTTCTTTGGCTGACAGTCCCCTTTCTGCTCTGGGATGGAACGGAGGAGCCGCATTTCGGGCTCGGCATCTATTTAGGGCGGACTGCTCTCTCCTGCGTGAGTGGGGCTGGTGAGCAAACCTGCTACACCCAGCAGGGATTTTGCTCTGGTTAACCCTACTGTCGTTTCAAGACCCTTTTTTTTTAAGCGTTGGAAATTTTCAACAGCAGAAACTATTTTGTCATTCATGGTAAAATGTCTAATGCTGCTCTGTATAGCAGCTGGTGGTGAAAAATGTGGTTGAGAGATGATGCCTACGATAAGGAAGCTATGAGGAAAAGTGACATTCTTGGCGAGTCAAGCATTCTGACCTTGCTGCATTTGCTGGAGAAGGGTTTTCAAGAATAGGGAGTGCCCCATTCTTGAGGCTCAATCTCACTCATAAGTGAAGAATTACAAATTAAAACACTATGGAGATACCATTTTTATGAAGCAGAATGTCAAAGAGCTCAGCTGTGGGAAGAGGCGATCCCACACATCGGCACTGGTATGTGAGCCGGAATGGACTCTGCAGAAGCCAACTTGACAACACCCATGACAGGAAAGCCTCACAAGCCCCGGGACACAGCTCTTCCCCTCCTAGGAAAGGATCCAACACCACAGGCCCACTCAGCACTGCGCTGAAGGATACTGGAGAGAGACGCTCATTGCAGTGTTATTTATTATTGGTTGTTTTTTTTTTTTTAAAGATTTATTTTATTTATGCATACAAGAACTATGGCCTAGGTCAGAGGTGGGGGTTGTGTGTGTGTGAAAGGATTTACCAGAGACAGAGTGGGGAACAGAACAGGTGGATTTACTGAAATACACTGCTGAGGGGAGCAGCGGGTGAGACAGGAGAGGTCTGCCGCGCCATGTGGGTCAGCTCCCTGGCCAGGGATCAAACTTGTGCTGAGTGGCTGGCAATAGCTTGATAGTGCTGAGATTTAACCCCTGCCCCACCAGGGAGGCCCCCTGCAGCATTGTTTATAGTAGTCAAGACAAGGCAGGTGAAAAGTCCATCAACAGGGACCTGGTTAAAACGGTGATGGGCCTTTCATTCTAGAAAATATTGGGCAGCAAATATCAGGATTGATCTAGATGTGTCAATGTGAAAAAAAATCCTCAAAACAGAATATTTTACCAAATAGTATTATTCTAGTTTTATAGGAAAAAAAGAGCGTGTATGTGAGATGTCACATGGGCATGGCAAAGGTCTCAAGGATAAACATTCCATGGTGCTGTCTAGACAGCAGGGTTGGGTGGTGGGGTGGGGCGGGGGGCGGAGTTTGAAAGAAAAGTTCCAGTTTTAATTTTTTAATACAGTTCAACATGTTGAGGTGCTGCATGTAAAGGAGAAGTTTTAGATTTTGTTGCTGTTAATGTTGCCGTGTTGTTTTTACAACAGTTAAGAGAACCTCTGGTGAAGAGTTTCTGTGTTGGGTGCTGAAAAATTCTGGAAGCAGAGAGTGGTGGTAACCATGTATTTTGAATATATTGAATATACTTACTGCCACTGAATTATCACTTAAAAAATGATTACATTGGGACATTTCATGTTATGTAATATTTTATCACAGACACACAAATTCTATTTTAAAAAACCCTGCCGTTTGGCACTTAGGGAAAAAACAGAAGAAGGATTTAAGGGCATTCTTGGTACTATTTTGCAATGTTTGTATAAATCAAAATTTATACAAAATTGAAAAAAAAACTTTTACAGGAACATGTATCCCCCTTAAATTTATGTCAGGCATTTGTCTAGAGGAAAAATCCAAAGATTTTAAACCAGAAAGCTAATTTTTCCACCACCTTCCCAAAACACAGTAGTAAAATCTGTTCTTGCCACGTGGCTCATGGGTTTTTTGCTCCATACTCAACGTCTTTGGCCTTTAATTCTTGTCTAAGCCAGACATATGCCATCCCCAGCCCAGACACAGCCCAACAACCAGGTCTCTGTCGCCATAGCGCAGAAAAGTCGCAACTCTGGGCAGAAGGAAGACGCTTCTGCAAGCAAAACTGGAAGTGCTTTGCACAGACCGCAGCAGAGACGAGAGGAGAGCCCTGGCACCCCACGTGGCGCCCATCTGCCACCAGCCCCGTGTTTTCTAACAAATAGGAAGTCACAGTAAGTTTGCTTCGAATAGACAGAGGAGCCCCCTGAAAGCCTGGTGATGTGCACACCCGAAGTGCATGTGTTCCCGCGGCACGAAGGAAACAAGCTGCTTATGGGAACTGCTACAATCAAACAGCGAATTTGAAGAACAGACCAGTTATACCTACTTTCTTTCCACAGACTGCTTTTCTTTAAGGAGATCGTTGAGTCTGTGCTCTAGAGTGTCACATTTCTCAATTGTTTCTTTAAATTTGGTCTTCATGTTGTTAATCTGCAAGTGCAAACAGAGATCAGCGTCACTCACAATGACAAAGTCATGTGGCCTTTGGGGCTGATGTCACAATTTTTTTTTTTCAGTTACTGTATGTAATTTTGAAGAACAGAACTTCGAAAGGTAAGACAATGGTTGGAAAGCATTTTTGACAACAGGAGCAAAAACTTCTGAGATATCCTGCTTCCCTGACTTTTTCTCTACCAGGATGAACACGGGGTCGGGAGTTGTTGCACGAGGCACAAGAAACTGCTCAGAAGCAGAGCAAGCTTCCTGCAGAAGAAAAGGAGCTGGAGCATCACAGGCCAGACCACAGTCCCCCATTCTTAATTCTCCATCGTTTCCCGCTGTTGAGTGTGTGTGTATAACTAGTTTATACTACAGTATCTTAAAAACTTGACAGGATTCTGAAATTCTGGTGTATTACGCGTCAGAAGGCAACAATCCCAGCCAAGGGTCTCTTAAGTGTAGCTAGACAGACACGGGTTTCACTCAGGTGTGACGATCGACAGATTTGGGAAATGTCTCCACTGTTCTAAGGACACCAGACGATGATGAGGTGGCGAGGGAAGCAGTGAGGTTGGATGGATCATGACAGAGTAATAATAGGAACTGAAAGTGACTGAGAACTTAAATCCTTTGACTGGGTGTTTATTTATTTATTTAAAAGATTTTATTTATGTATGTATACAAGAACTGGGGTAAAGGCCAGAAGTGTGTGGGGGTGAGAGGATTCGCCAGAGACAGTGGGGAGCAGAACAGGTGGATCTACTGAAATACACTGCTGAGGGGAGCATCGGGTGAGAAAAGGAGAGGTCTGCCGTGCCATGTGGGTCAGCTCCCTGGCCAGGGGATCGAACTTGTGCTGCTGTGGCTGTTGACAGCTTCATAGTGCTGAGACTTAACCTCTGCACTGCCAGGGAGGCCCTGGCTGGGTGTTTTATAAGCAGTATCTTATAAGCCTATGACTTATGTGTATTTAAACTTTTTACAGAAATGGAGTCTTTGAGAAAACCAAGGTAGTTTGTTCAAGATAACCTTGTCAGAGTAGGGTGGGTCTAGCACTAGACCTCAAATCTGGGCTCAAAGTCAGACTCTAAACACTCTGCACACTACACTGTAAATCAAAGCTACAGCAAGGGAAAAGAGACCTCTGGGCAAGATCTAAACTCTTAGCAGGACCCGTGGTAAACGCAGTATCCTTTATTCAGGGAAAGGGCTATTACTTTTAACATTTTCTTTTTAAACATCTGCCACATTGGCCTCCATGGTGGCGCAGCGGTTGAGCGCTGGGTTGTGAAGCTGCCCGCAGCCTCTGCAGCGCCGGTTCGATTCCCGGCTGTTCCCCGGCCACTGGAGGAGGGTCCCGTATGGCACGCAGACCTCTCCTGCCGCCCGCTGCTCCCCTCAGCAGTGTACTTCGGTCCTTCTGCCTGCTCTGCTCCCCGCTCTGGCTCTGGTGAATTCTCTCACCCTCCCGCGCTTCTGACTGTACCCAGTGCTTGTATAAACAAATAAATAAATCTTAAAAAAACCCAACAAAACATAAACATCTGCCACATGGCCTGCCTAGAAGGTCTCTAACAGCACTGTTTTGTTTTGAGTAAGTGAATAACTGCTTTGTAGAAATTAACTTTATAGGGCCTCCCTGGTGGCCCAGGGGTTAAAGTCTCAGAGCTACTGAGCTATCACCAGCCACTGTAAGGACAGCCTTCTCCTTGTTCTTCACACATGGCCCCACAAAAACTGAAGACGTTCAAGGGGATATAAGCGTCACTTTCTAGAACAGGCTCTTCTCACAGGCTATAAGAATTATACCACCTAAGCCACTCCACAGTGAATTTCCGCTTTACCCTCACCCAAACACACACCTTAATCTTTAATGAAGCCCACAAAAAAGAAACCCTGTCAGTTACTGGTTTTCCCTGCATGCACTCTACCCTGGAGGTGCCAATGATCAGAGGACAGGTCAGAAGAGGACAGTGGCAAGAACAAAAGTCTGGCTCCATCCATTAACTTATGGATCAGAGATATTTGTTATTAGAAAACAAAACATTCTTGGGCCTTCCCAGTGGTGCAGCGGTCGAGCGCTGGGCTGCAAAGCTGCCTGAAGCCTCTGCAGCGCCGGTTCGATCCCCAGTCACCGGGCAAGGGTCCCACATGGCGCGCAGACTTCTCCTGCCGCCCGCTGCTCCCCTCAGCAGTGAATTTCATCTGTCTGCCTGTTCTGCTCCCCACTCTGGCTCTGGTGAATTCTCTCACCCTCCCGCGCTTCTGACTATACCCAGTGTTTGTATAAATAAATAAATAAATAAATCTTTAAAAAAAAAAAAGAAAACAAAACATTCTTTTCAAGCCTTGTGCTTGGCCTCATCTTAGCTTCACCTAAAAGTAAACCCAAGCTTCAGCTTTTCGTTTCCCCGCCCCTTGACTTGCTTCTCGCGGTCACGGGCGGGGAATGCAGTTAATCCTAGGGCATGTGAGCAGGCGGGGAGAACGCTGAGTTTAGCTCAAGGGTCAGCACAAAGTGCTTCTGATAGCCGCAGTATGGAGCCTTAGGAAAGCCCACTGGGAGGCGGCCCGGGCTGCCAGGGCTCCTCTCCAGCCTCCGTGGCTGGACATTAAGCAGCCGGGGACACGCACTCCTGTGTGCTGCTGGGGCTCACCTTCCCAGGTCCTCCAATCAAGTCTTACTCAGAACCTGCGTGTATAGGGACCTTGGGAGTTTCTGGAAAGGCACTTCCACTGTTTGTAAGGTTCTTGTGAGAATTTCACCAAGAACTTGTAACTAGAGATCATTTTAAAGTGGGTGTTAAGTCTTAATTAATTAATTAATTTTTAAGATTTATTTATTTATACAAGCACTGGGGTACAGGCCAGAGGCGTGGGAGGGTGAGAGAATCCACCAGAGACAGAGCGGGAGCAGAACAGGCAGAAGGATCCTCAACCCACTGCGCCACTGGGGAGGCCTGAGCCTTAATTTAAAAGCCTGGCTTTTAGGGCCTTCCCGGTGGCACAGGGGTTAAAAACAGCACTATTAAGCTACTGCCAGCCACTGCAGCACGAATTCAATCCCTGGCCAGCCACGGAGCAACCCACATGGCACAGCAGATCTCTCCTGTTTCGCCCACTGTTCCCCTCAGCCGTGTATTTCAGCAGATCTGCCTGTTCTGCTCCTCACTCTCTCTGGCGACTCCTCTCACCTCCTGTACCTCTGGCTTACACCCCAGTTCCTGTATGTATAAATAAATAAATATTTAAAAATAAATAAATAAAAATAAAACCCTGACTTTTAAATCATTTACAGGCATATGCAGAAACTGGGGTCCGTGGGCCTGGTACAAAGCAAGAGCTAGGCTTGCCTGCTGAGCTCCAGGGTAATCTGAGCCACCTCAGAGGTCAGCCCCAAGCCCAGCTCTGTGGTCCCCATCTGGAGGCCCAGTTATTGACAAGGATCCACAAAGACACTATAGTATCATTTCAAAAGATGGAAGGTGTTCATTAACATACTAAGGGAATCAATGAATTATGAACACTGTCCGAGGGTCCTGAAAATGGTTTCTAGGGCTCTACAATACATAAACCCTCAAGTGCTCACTGGTGCTCAAATCCCATCCTTTGCAACTCTTGGGTGCTCGTGCTGGAGACACAGGGAAAGTCAAGCAGAGGATTCTGGGCTTCCTCTGGTCTTCCACCAAAGTAACACTTTTCTCTTTTATGTTGGAGCAGTGAATGGTGTCCTTTTTTTTTTTTTTTAAAGATTTATTTTATTTTTACAAGAACTGGGGTACAGGTCAGAGGCGCAGGAGGGTGAGCGAATTCACCAGAGACAGAGCAGGGAGCAGAACAGGCAGACGTACCAGAGATACTGCTGAGGGGAGCAGTGGGTGAAGCAGGAGAGGTCTGCCACGCCATGTGGGTATCTCCCTGGCCGGCTGGGAATTGAACCCGGGCTGCAGAGGCTGCAGACAGCTTCACAGTGAGGCGCTCAACCCACTGCACCACTGGGGAGGCCCTAATGGTATCTTCTTTAATAGATTTTGTTAGAATTTGAAGACCACCGCTCCAGGGCCAACAAGGCATGCAGTGCCCATTGCAGCATCTCTGCCCAGTTTTATTCCCATTAATTTTGAAGCACCATTCTGTGCCTCAGAAGCCCACGTGCAGCTCCCCAGGCAGCTGTTCCCAGTGCAAACCAACTGGTTGACTCAAATTACAAACCCTCATATGCATCAATTTTTTAATGGAATTGCACAAGACACTAGAAAACCCAATGAAGTGAACAAAAACAAGACCCCCCCTACCCCCACCCCCACCAATACCAAAATACTCAAACTTTTAAATCCAAGCTTTCTTTTTTTCTCCCTTTTTAGGGTACATGCCAGATATTTTATTTCTATTTCTTCTTTAACCTTAGCTTAGTAGGTATAGAGCTCAGCATATAATCAACTTTTAATACATTCTTCCTGATATACTAATCCCAGCTGAGAATATAAGTCTGCTTCCCTCATCTTCTTAAATTATGCTTAGCTGATTACATTTTCTCTTCCTTTTCCTCTTTTTGACGAATTTTATTCTCACGGTGGTCTCGAATTTCTTGTTCCTGATACTGCCTTCGGGGGCTAAGTCTGCAGTTAATGACCACATAGGTATTTGCCACTTCTCTCTGGAATCCTGATCTAGAATTGCATCCAGGGGGAGCCAACTGATTCTACTTCCTGTTTTCTGTTTGCTCCCCACTCTCCCAGCTTTACTGAGATACAACTGACATAGAACAAAGGTTTCATTTTACAGGCAAAACAGATGTCTAGGGCCTCCCTGGTGGCGCAAGGGGTTAAGACGCAACCTATGAAGCTGTCTGCAGCCTCTGCAGTACGAGTTCGATGCCCTAGCCGGCAACCCACATGGCGCAGCAGACCTTTCCAGTCTCGCCCACTGCTCCCCTCAGCAGTGTACTTCAGTCAATCCACCTGTTCTGTTCCCCGCTCTGTCTCTGGTGAATACTCTCACCCCCCATACTTCTGGCCTGTACCTCAGCTCTTGCATGCATAAATAAATAAATCTTTAAAAAACAAATGAAACAGATGTCTACCAGGAGGAGGCTCAGGCACCCACTGCCTCCTGCCTCTGCCCCCTCCCACCCCACGTCAGACTGCCCTGACCCTTGGGCTAGCAGCAGTCACCGGATGATGACCATCTTACCTCCTCTGCTGTGTCCTTCTCGATCCGAACTATCTTGTTTTCCCAGTAGATTCTCTGAGATTCCAGCTGACTTGTTAGTAAATATGAATACTGGAAACAAAGAGAATAGACACCAAAACGTAAGTCACTGTTGCTGGTCTCTAAAACCTGGCTTTTAATGACTCACGGAAGACTAAGACTAACTCCCAGAATGTACATGATACCTTGGTTCCACTCTACTCAGCAAACCAGGGGAACAGAGATGAAAATGTACACTCCTGTCCTCCGACGCTTACAGTCTAGCCAGGGAGTGTCAGAGGAACACACATTTTAAAAAGATCTCATATTCCTGTTCAAGATGACTTTCAGGAGAACCACGTTTTTTAAAGCAAAGTGTAAACTGAATTAGCTCATCCATCCACTTCCCCTCCAGGAAGCAGTTCCTGTCCCCCCAGCCTTGGGTCCCACGCCCTGCTTCTCAGTGACCTCAGCATGGCACCTATGACCTGCCTGTCTCCTTGACTGGACTGTGAACTCTTTGCAAGTGAGGGGTGTACTTCATGCACCCCAGTGCCTGGCGCATGCCAGATGTCATGAGACGCGTGCTGCCGGGCTGCAGGGATGGATGAGCGGTGCTGTGCAGGAACAGGGTAAGGACAGACAGCTTAGGACGGGTACAGGTTGGGTTCAGGTAGAAGTGCTGGGAGATGAGATCTGAGCAGGCTCCCAACAGACAGGAGGAAGAGACAGACAATGGAGAAATCTGATTCCAGAGAACTACCAGGCCCAGATGCAAGCTGTCAACACTCAGGACCTCTTCGAGAATAGCAACACCAGTGCGGCAGGGGTGAAGGGTATGGAGACAGGGCTCATTGAGAAAGGATGGTGGGAGAGTGTTGCCATGTCAATGTATGAATGTAAGCACCCAAGGGGAGGGAGTTTGTTCAATGCTGTGCTCCCAGCACTGAGGATGGTGGCTGACAGGAGTCCTCAGCAAATGTCCACGGAAGGAACATTCTTTTTTTTTTTTTTTTTTTTTTTTTTAAAGATTTATTTATTTGTTTATTTATACAAGCACTGGGTACAGTCAGAAGCGCGGGAGGGTGAGAGAATTCACCAGAGCCAGAGCGGGGAGCAGAGCAGGCAGAAGGACCGAAGGACACTGCTGAGGGGAGCAGCGGGCGGCAGGAGAGGTCTGCGCGCCATGTGGGACCCTCCTCCGGTGGCCGCAGCCGGGGATCGAACTGGCGCTGCGGAGGCTGCGGGCAGCTTCGCAACCCAGCGCTCAATCGCTGCGCCACTGGGGAGGCCCAGGAACATTCTTATAGTCAATGTGGAAGCATGACTTAAGCTTTTACTTATTTATTTATTATTTTTTTAATTATTATAATTTTTATTTTTATATTCCCCATACAATTGTGACCCCCTTATTTTGACCCCAATCCCTCCCCTCCCCGCCCTCTACCCCTCATAGAGTGTCTCTGGTTCATAGTTGTTTGTTGATTTTGATTTTTACTTTCTTTCTTTCTTTTTTCTTAAAGATTTAGTTTTATTTATTTATACATGCACTGGGTACAGTCAGAAGCGCGGGAGGGTGAGAGGATTCACCAGAGCCAGAGCGGGGAGCAGAGCAGGCAGAAGGACCGAAGTACACTGCTGAGGGGAGCAGCGGGCGGCAGGAGAGATCTGCGCGCCCTGTAGGACCCTCCTCTGGTGGCCGGGGAGCAGCTGGGGATTGAACTGGCGCTGCAGAGCCTGCGGGCAGCTTCGCAACCCAGTGCTCAACCACTGCTCAGTCAGGCCCTGATTTTTACTTTCTTATAATTACTTAAGCTTTTAAATATCTGTTTTCTCCCAAGGTTAAGGCATTGGTTTTCAAAACAATCTTTTTCAAAGTTTATATAAAACAGGACTCACATGTTAAATTTCCCCTTCATTCATATAAAATTTACACTGCATCAATTCAGAGATGGAATTGACTGCTCTGCTCTGAGGAAAAATCAGATTGTGCTAATTTTGCTCTTTTTCAAAGATGTGAATACTCCAAGACAGCTTGACATATCTGAGCTTCAAGTTCACAAACTGTCGCCCATTTTACACGTGAAAAGGCTTCCCAGCCAAGGAGAGATGCCCTTGGAGCTCCCTCATTCTGACCCAGTCTGAGAAGCCTTTACCTGCTACTGAGATTCTCAACCTCCAGTTTTATTACAGTTTCAGGGGACAACCTTAATACTGAGATTGTGACAACACATTGAAAATAACAAGGCATGGGGCCTCCCAGATGACCTAGGGGTTAAGACTTAGTATTATCACCATGACGGCCTGAGTTCAATCCCTGGCCATGGAGCTGGACCACATGGTGCAGCAGATCTCTCCTGACTCGCCTGCTGCTTCCCTCAGCAGTGTATTTCAGTCTGCTCTGTTCCCGACTCTGTCTCTGGTGAATCCACTTGTCCCCCGAACCTCTGGCCTGTACCCCAGTTCTTATATGCATAAATAAATCAATCTTTAAAAAATAAATATTAGGGCCTCCCTGGTGGCACAAGGGGTTAAGCACTGCACTATGAAGCAAACTGCAGCCTCTGTAACACGAGTTTGATCCCCGGCCCTCCAGGGAGAAACCCACATGGTGCAGCAGACTTCTGACTCACCCGCTGCTCCCCTCAGCAATGTACTTCAGTCAATCTGCCTGTTCTGTTCCCCACTCTGTCTCTGGTGAATCCTCTCATTCCCCACATCTCTGGCCTGTACCCAGCTCTTGTATGTATAAATAAATAAATAAAAATCTTAAAATATATATATATATATATTAAAAAAAAACGACAGGGCCTCCCTGGTGGTGCAAGGGGTTAGGCACAGCACTGTGAATCTATCTGCAGTCTCTACAGCATGAGTTCAATCCCTGGTCAGCTAGGGAGCTACCCACATGGTACAGCAGACCTCTCCTGCCTCGCCCGCTGCTCCCCTCAGCAGTGTACTTCAGTCAGTCTGCCTGTTCTGTTCCCCACTCTGTCTCTGGTGAATCTTCTCACCCCTCCCCACACCTCTGGCCTATACCCCAGTTCTTGTATGCATAAATAAATCAATCTTTTAAAAAAAATAAGAGAACCAATTAGGAAAAAAAAAAGGCATCATAAAACAGACTGTCAATGAAGAAAGTCAGGATAAAAACATTTTAATAATTCTTCATAGCAATGATGGAACTTAAAAAGAATAGATGCATGAAGGAAAAATGGCAAAATTAAAAGTTCAAACAACCTTTTAAGTAAGAGCAGTAAAACAGTAGCAATGGGATTCAGCAAATCACTGGTGAGGGATCTTACCTCTAACTGTAAGGCATCTATTTTCTCTTCCTGGCAAGTGTCACCCTCGCATTCATACTGTACTATTTTTCCATCTGTTTTACTTGCAACCAGTCGATGGACATAATTATCTAAAGAAAAGAATGAGTCACCCAAAGTGTGTTTCTTTGAAATGAAAGTGTCTCCCTATCCTTTTAACTTTGACAAAATTTTTAAGGATCTAAATTAAAGACCGTGCAATATTTCTTTAAAAGTGTGTTAAATTGTTTGAATTTTAAGCAGAGCAAGATGTAGAGAAAGCAAGCGTGGGGCACTGACTATAATGTGTGGTTCAGGCTACTACTCATTGGAAATGTGCCCCTTAAGGCCCCAGGAGAGGGGCTTCTGCCATAGGGTGAGGAAGAAGTCAACCTGCGAGAGAACGTGGAGAGTTCTGAGTCCTCAGCAGAAACGAGAGCGGCCTCACCTCCAGCGTAGTCCCAGACCCGGTGGTTGGTGAGCTGCATGGCATACGTGTGCTGGGTCTCCTCAAAGTGCTTATATGCATGTCGACTCACGTATCGTCCGCAGCCTATGTGGCCACATATTAAACAAATCCAAAGGTTCTGCCAAGAAGGTAAGATCTTATTTAAAATTCAAAAGTTAAATAAAAACATAGGACCTGGCTCACTCAGAGTGGGAAGGAGCCTGATACAGGATGAGATTTATAGGTGATTCCAAAGGAGATTTGAATAAATAGGTGTTTAAAACCCGACAGACAAGGATGTTTTTATGGATCACTTGTTGTTCTGATTTCTGTAGAACTGTACGTAAATAGCAAGAGAAACAGTCACTTTTTACTGAAGCCTGGGCCTTTCCAAAGAACAAAGAATGACAGCAAAAGGCATTCTGCTTAGGAGTAAAATAATTTGTGTATTTATATTTCTTGCCTGACCCTGGACAAAAAGAAAATCAGTCTCAAAAAGAATTTACACTACAAAGGACAGAAAAGAAACAGCAGATGGAACAACTGAAGTTGTGTTTGTCACTCTTCTCACTGACGCTACTTACCTCCTGAACGCCACACTCGAAACACTTGTTTTCTTCTACTGGTTCCGGCGTTTGACAGTACCGGCACACAGGACACCTATCCCGGACACCAAAGACAATGGTACAGGTTAACTATACATACAGTTGCTACAAACCCAGGAGAAAAATAGTAAGTTTTCTAAGTCTCTCATAACTAAGACTATCATTCAAAAGACAAACACTTTTGGGGCCTCCCTGGTGGCACAAGGGGTTAAGTCTCAGCACTATGGAGCTATCTGCAGCCACTGCAACACGAGTTCGACCTCTCCTGTCTCCCCTCAACAGTGGATCTCAGTGGAGCCACCTGTTCTGCTCCCTACTCTGTCTCTGGTGAATCCTCTCACCCCCCTACACCTCTGGCCTGCACCCCAGCTCTTGCATGCATAAATAAATCTTTAAAAAACAACAACAAACACTTTCAAGTTATTCTCGAACAAAATGAAAAAACAAAGCAATATCTCAATAAAGTAGAGGAAAGGGGAGGAATCTTGATCAGTGTGCTTTGTTCCTTTCTTTTTAAAATTTAACCAAATATATAACCACAGAACTATCTATTTACAGGTTAGAATTAGAGGCTTGAGGCAAGTTAGTAATTGTTTTATGTCTGGTGATCTACATTATTTTCATGTCAAACAATCTACTTTATCACCATTTCCCAAGGATGTAAATAACTCAAAATGTATTCTGTCCTCTCAAGGCTGTTCCTAATAGTTGAAACTAAAATCTAGTAAATTCACCTAAATAAAAAAAAAAATCAGGGGCCTCGCCAGTGGCACAGCGGGTTGAGCGCTGCACTGTGAATCTGTCTGCAGCCTCTGCAGCACGGGTTCGATTCCCGGCTGGCCAGGGCGATTCCCACATGGCACCGCAGACCTCTCCTGTCTCGCCCGCTGCTCCCCTCAGCAGTGTACATCGGTCCTTCTGCCTGTTCTGCTCCCCGCTCTGTCTCTGGTGAATTCTCTCACCCTCCCGCACCTCTGGCCTGTACCCCGGTTCTTGTATAAATAAATAAAATCTTAAAAAAAAAATCAGTGGATCAAGTTAATTTATAAATAAATAAATTAATTTTAAAAAATGTATTTCCTGAGCACTGTGTGTAAGGTGGGATCAGCAGTTCAGTTACTACTCAAGTTTCAGTTTTCAAAAAGCCAACACAAATGCACTGAGGCCAAATTCACAGATACACAGAGTAGGAAGGTGGCTACTAAGATCTGGGGGTGAGGAGGAGAGGGAGAAGCCGGTCAAGGGCACAAAGGTTCAGTTACGCAAGATGCCTAGGTTCTGAAGAACTGGCATATGTCAAGGTGACCACAGTTGACAATATTGCATTGAGTCTTTGAAATATGCTGAGGGTGAGCCTCCCTGGTGGCGCAGGGGTTAAAGTCTCAGCACTATCAAGCTAGCGCCAGCCACTGTGGCATGAGTTCAATCCCCAGCCAGGGAGCTGACCCACATGGCATAGCAGACCTCTCCTGCCTTGTCCGCTGCTCCCCTCAACAGTAGATCCACCTATTGTGCTCCGCACTTTGTCTCTGGTGAGTCCTCTCACCCCCGCCACCCCACCTCTGGCCTAGATCCCAGTTCTTGTACAAATAAAAATAATTCTTTTTTAAAAAATTAAATAGGGGCCTCCCCGGTGGTGCAGTGGTTGAGCGCTGGGTTGTGAGGCTGCCCGCGGCCTCTACAGCATCGGTTCGATCCCAGCTGCTCCCAGGCCATCGGAGGAGCGTCCCACATGGTGCGCAGACCTCTCCTGCCGCCCGCTGCTCCCCTCAGCAGTGTACTTTGGTCCTTCTGCCTGCTCTGCTCCCCGCTCTGGCTCTGGTGAATTCTCTCACCCTCCTGTGCTTCTGACTATACCCAGTGCTTGTATAAATAAATAAATAAATCTTTAAAAAAAAAAAAAAGAATGAAAAAATCTTATAAAAAAAAAAATTAAATACATGTAATTTGTGATGATCAATTATACATTAATAAACCTGAAAAAATGATAATAAAAAATCCATTAACAGGCCTCCCCAGTGGCGCAGCAGGTTGAGCGCAGTGCTATGAAGCTGTCAGTAGCCTCTGCAGCGCAGGTTCGATTCCTGGCCCGCCAGAGAGAGTCCCACATGGCAGGCGTGGCAGACCTATCCTGTCGCGCCCGCTATTCCCCTCAGCAGTGTCTTCGGTCCATCTGCCTGTTCTGTTCTCCGCTCTGTCTCTGGTGAATCCTCTCACCCTCCTGTGCCTCTTGCCTGAACCCCAGATCTTTAGCGGCCTCCCTGGTGGTGCAAGGGTTAAGACGCAACCTATGAAGCAATCCACAGCCGCTGCAGCAAAAGTTCGATTACCGGCCAGTCAGGGAGCAAACCACATGGTGCAGCAGACCTCTCCTACTCACCCGCCGCTCCCCTCAGCAGTGTATTTCAGTCAGTCTGCCTGTTCTGTTCCCCACTCTGTCTCTGGTGAATCCTCTCACCCCTCATGCCTCTGGCCTGTTCCCCAGCTCTTGTATGCATAAATAAATAAATAAATCTTTAACAAAATAAATAAATCTTAAAAAAAAAATCCATTAACCCTTTTCTATCATATTTAAGACAAAGTAACACTAAATACTAGTTATGAACATTTGTGTCCACTGAGTAAAAATAAAAAGTAGGTTTACAGTTGAGGCTCATTGGCACCAAGATGAAAAATGGCAGCCCCCAAGCACAGGTGACTGACGACTGCAGACCTATACACTTCAGTGTAAGAGCCTCAGAGCTCTTCGTCCTTCTCTGGTTCTCCGGCTCAGGGACGGAAAGAACAACTCATGTGGACTAAGGCTAAGGATCTGCATCCTAAAATGATGTGGTCCAAGAATGCTGAGTCCCACGTGACTAAGCAAAGGGAAGAAGAAAGGAGGCAGCCCTTCCATGGGACCACTTTACTTTTGTGCTGTTCTGGTTTACAAAGTCAAATACTTGGAGTGGGTGTTTATGGGTGGTGATTATTTTTAACCCTGGGAAGAGGAAGCATGGGGCTCTGACAGGAGGGGAGCTCCCCTCACTCACGTCGTGTCGTCCCAGCGCTGCAGACACTGGCTGTGGAAGCTGTGGTTGCACAACGTGGTGAGGATGCCATTCACAGACTCATCCATGCGCTCCAGACATACCGTGCACTTGGGGAGCTCGGTCAGGTCCATCACCGGGAGGCTGGCGCCCTGCAGGGAAACATTTCACGTAAGTCCCTCTTCATCCACCAGTTCTAACATACATGTTTTAAAACAATAGTTTTCCTGCTGCCTTTTGAACAAAAGGCTCTTGACATTATTGCTCTGTGCAAACAGTTTACACCACTGAGATTTTCATTCATGCGACAAATACCGATCGAGCACCTCCTACCGTCCCAGCATCGTGCTGGGCTTGGGGTCACCGGGGTGGACAAGCCAAGATTCCCGCCGTCGTGGGGCTGAAAAGCTAGGAAGGCAGATGGCTACCAAACCTTACCAGAGAATCTAAGATATCCCTGCACTCCTAGAGCTAAGTGTCTGCAACTAGAAGAGAAACGAACAGGATAGGGACCTGAGTGATTTCTCCAGAGTAAATTAAAACTCTGCACCTTCTACTAAATGATGGGAGTATTGGGCCTCCCTGGCAGCCTTGGGGTTAAGTCTCAGCATTGTCACTACTAAGGCCTAAGTTCGATCCATGGCCAGGGAGCTGACCCACATATGGCTCAGCAGACCTCTCCTGTCTCACCTGCTGCTGTCCTCAGCACTGTATTTCAGTAAATCTGCCTGTTCTGTTCCCACTCTGTCTCTGGTGAATCCTCCCCCTGCCTAGCACCTCTGACCTACACCTATGCAAAAATAAATAAATAAATAAATGAATGAAATCTTTTAAAAAATGATGGGAGTATCGACAGCAGTGATTTATTTATTCACCAAACACATACAAACGGAGTCCCTACTGTGTGTGCCAGACACTGTTCTAGATGTGGAACAATGGTGAGTAAAAATAGATTCAGTAAGACCCCACCCCCCAAAGAAGTCAGCCTGTCTCCCAGCATTTAGAATCTAGTCGAAAGACAAAAATTAAAAGATTTTTAAATTATAATTATCAACAGTCATTAAGTGTTGTGAAAGTAAAGCACAGTAAACTATCACAGAGGGTGAAATAGGGCTCCAGCTGTTCAAGAAAGGGACCCCCCCAAGACAGCACTGTGCCTTGAACCCTGTCTGCTGTGAAATGAGCAGGAATAATTTAGGGAAGGTTTGGGGGGCATGTACTTGAGTAAAACAGAGAAAAATCATATTACTCTAGAAATGGCTCAAGACACCATGTTCATTTAGAGAAAATAATCTTTAAAACTGAGGCCCTGCACAGCCCCTTGCAGGAAGGAAGCTTGATTTTATCACCTAATAATGTTTGTTTAGATAAATCTAATGATAGGAACAAACTAATTGGAATTTATTTCCATTAAACTGCTTTTAAGGTAAAAGACCTTTGAATCAACTTTAAAAGAAAGGAAATATTAACACTCTAAGAGAGTGAATCCAATACTTTCTAAAGCGATTCAAATGAGCACATACTGCAGGAAAGACTCCCACCGAGGGCAGCAACAGATCAGAGCAGTTACAAATTGCTCTCAAAACAGAACCGAGAACTGGGATGGGGACTAGGGTGAATATTTAAAACAAAAACACTTCTTTTAAGCTCCAGGCAATTTTTTTATTGACCTGGAACACATGAGCACTCAATTTCAAAAAAGGTATCATTTTTTGGTGCTGGGAGACAGGGGGTGGGAAAAACAAGTTCTAAAAAGAGAGATAAAATTCAGAGTATATAAAATTCGCCATTCTAGAGTGTGCCCAATGGAGTGGTTTCCTGAACATTCACAAAGGTGTGCAACTCTCACCACTACCAACCCTGGCACACTTCTCATCAATCAGCCCCAGAGGAGACCTCCCAGTCATTAGCAGTCACTCCCCCACCTCTCTGTTCTCCCCCCCCCCCAACCCCCCATCAACCAATTCTGGACATTTCCACAGATCTCTTAACTTGGTGCACCCGATACAGTCACATCAAATGGAGGAATTATATTCACACTTACATCTTCAGATTTCAGTACCTCAGCCCTTTCCACATAGACCAGCTGGCAAACGTCATCTTCTATGGAGTTGAACTGGCGGCCGTTGCAGGCCATGTAGAAACTGTCCGCGTCGGCCTAGAGCCACCAAGAGGGAAAAGGGAAAGTTAAGGGGGATGAAACCTGCTTTATGTTCACGGTGCAGAGCTTCAAGTATTCCTTTCATCAGCTTTTAAAACTTATACTTAGGAGAGAAAGCAACAGCCAAAAGTAACATCTACTGAAGCAGGTTCAAGGCTAGTGGGACTCTGCAGGTCAGTGTCCTCACCGGGCTGTTTCCAGGCCTGTGACAGTTGCACGTGCGCTGGCAGGAACTGTGCAAGTGCAGTAAGTTGACAACTTGGAGAATTTTAATACTCAACCTGCGATGGTCAACGTTTCCCTTGATATCAGGTTTTCCCCCTCTTGTCAGCACTTTTACAGTGACTGAAAATAAGCACTTATTTTTGCAAAGCTTGGAGCCAAACCCTATCTGGCAATTGTTATGAAAGAGCTCCTTTTAAAATATGTTAGCATCTGTGTTAGAAAAAAATAAAGGACCAGTGGAACTGGGATGGAGTGAAAAGTCAAGTCCCTCTTATCAATTAACCAGATAACCATATACCACAGCTAAGTTTCCCATCAGGAGGTTTTAAAGAAACTGGTTTATAAATCGAAAGTTAAAACTCTTGGCCAAGATCAAGAGGCCCAAGATGAGCTAGCCGTTGAAATATGAATCGTCTCCCTCCCTTGGAGAAGACAGGTCGGATGAGGGGAAGAGTCCCTTGCAGTTACAGCCGCAAAAGGCACAAGTGAACACGGACACAGGTTCCTCAGACCCCAAGTCTAGCCTTAGCAGAAAGGAGCAAAGATAAGAATCCAGTTTTTAAACTCGGTACGTTTTAGAGGCAGCAGGAGGCCAAGGCTGGTCTGGATTTTATTCCCTCTTGGGCATTAGTCCAAACACAGGCAGCTGGGAGCTCTGGCTCTACAGTGTAGACGAGCTGCTCGCAGGAGGAGGGGGTGCTGCAAGCAGAAATGCCGCACCACCAACCTCCAGGCAGAGATTTAGGTCCGCACCAGGCAAAACCAGCTCTGCTGCCCACCTCACAGGGCACTGGATCTTAACAGCCACTGTAAGCTTTTCAGCTTTCAATTTCATGCCAATGATGTCATCCAAGTGTGGATTCCTGATTATTTATGCTTTCTTAACGGGATCAAGTGAGCTTGGCAGCTAAGGGTGATCAACTCTAAACAGTTGCATTTTTTGGAAGGGGAGGGGCTTTCCTTCAGGAAACCACCCGTGTTAGGTGGGTGCAGGGCATCTGAACATCTATACGTTAAACACCCACTCTCGGGTAATCCTTCCCTTCAGTACAACACTAAGAGCGACAACCTAAAATGGCTGTCCCCTTCCTCAGGAGCAGTGGCTTTTCTTGAAACGCTTTTGGTGAGCAAGCAGCACGCAGCAAATGGACTTGTGTATGAGGGGAGTGACTACCGGTCAGCTCTTCAGGGCCTCAAGCACCCAGAGCTAGCTGCAAGGGCACCTGCTGAGGAAAGGCAGACTCCTCCCGGGACCTCCTCAGAGGGACAGGGTATGTGTCACTGGGCTTGAGACAAACCAGCAGTGTCAGGTAGACTGTTCCTTGGGGGATGAAGGGGGTGGCTGTTTATCTACACCAGAGACATACTCTGTACACACTGATCTCATCTTTAAAATCTCGGTCATGGGCCTCCTAGTGGCACAAGGGGTTAATTACAGCACTGGGACGCTATCCCCAGCCACTGTAGCATGAGTTCGATCCCCAGCCAGGGAGCTACCCACATGGCACAGCAGACCTTTCCTGTCTCGCCCACTGCTCCCCTCAGCAGTATATTTCAGTCAGTCTGCCAGTTTTGTTTGTTTGTTTGTTTATTTATTTATTTATTTATTTATTATTTATTTTATTTTATTCTGGGTACAGTCAGAAGTGCAGGAGGGTGAGAGAATTCACCAGAGCCAGAGTGGAGAGCAGAACAGGCAGAGTGACAAAGTACACTGCTGAGGGGAGCAGCGGGCGGCAGGAGAGGTCTGCGCGCCATGTGGGACCCTCGCCGGTGGCCGGGGATCGAACCGGCGCTGCAGAGGCCGCGGGCAGCTTCGCAGCCCAGCGCTCAACCGCTGCGCCACCAGGGGAGGCCCAGTTTTGTTTTTTTTTAATATTTATTTATTTATGCACACAGGAGGTGGGGTGCAGGCCAGAGTTGCGGAGATGAGAATTCACCAGAGACAGAGTGGGGAACAGAACAGGCAGACTGAAATACAATGCTGTGGGGAGCAGTGAACGAGACAGGAGATGTCTGCCTCGCCACGCGGGTTGCTCCCTGGCCAGCCAGGTATCGAACTCATGCTGCCAAGGCTGTGGATTGCTTCACAGAGCGATGCTCTAACCCCCTATACCACCAGGGAGGCCCCAGTCTGCCAGTTTTGCTCCCCACTCTGTCTCTGGTGAATCCTCTCACCCCTTGCACTTCTGGCCTGTACCCCAAACCTTGTATGCATAAATAAATAAATCTTTAAAAAAAAAAAAAAAAAGAAATCTCGGTCCTGAAAATGTAGCTTTACTCCTTCAAATATGCACTGAGCACCTAGCATGTGCCAGGCACTGTGCCACACACCAGGATGGGAGCAGAGAACAAAATGCACAGGGTTCTGACTTCGACCCACCAATGAAATGCACAGGACAAAAGCTAACTGCAAGAAACAGAAAAAAACAGCTCTTTTATTTCAAATGCCTGTATTGTACAGAGCTCCACATTTAAAGAAACCAGATTTTCTTTTTCCCTAGTCTTTTGATTTTATTGTTCTTAGAATCAACTCAGAAAAAGAAAATTCCACTATGATCAAGGTCCCTTTACTGCTACAGTGTTGAAAGCGTGATTTTACTTCTCAGAGGGGTCTGCTAGGCCATCCCAAGCACGCAAGTGAAAACAAGCCCACACACTCTATTGAGAGGTTATCTGTCTTAACCAAAGGGAACCCCTCCTGCTTTCCTGTGTCCTGATAAGTACAAATTCCTTACTCAAAGATTAAGTTTCCTAAAGGCCACAGTACAATTCTGTAAGCACATCTCTTTATAACACCCCACCATAAAGAAAGCTGAGGCCAACAGAAATTCAAGAGATTATAAAATATATAGAGGAGGTCTGTTCATTCTTAATAAAAATTCTCAGGTAGGAAAAAGAAAAGAGTCAGAAAGTTAGCTGCCCAGGTTGTGGAGTCAGGCTGCCTTGGTCTGAATTATGACTGGAGCTGTGTAACTCTGGATGAGTGTCTTATCTGAGCCTGTTTCCTTAACAAGAAAACATGAAATGATACCACCTACCTCATGGCATTACTGAGAGGACTCTAGGAGCTAATGCATTTAACAGAGGCCTGGCATCTAGAGAGAGCTCAAGAGTTGGAAGCTATGAGTCCTTGATTCTAGTGAGGGCCCAATAATACCTGAACAACTTCAAGTCTCATGCCAAGAGGGTGTTTTTAAATCCCTTTAAGGGTCTTCCTGGTGGCCTAGGGGTTAAGTCTCAGCACTATCACCGCTGCAGCAACCTGAGTTCCATCCCTGGCCAGGAAGCTGACCCACATATGGCAGCAGACCTCTCTGTCTCACCCACTGCTCCCCTCAGCAGTGTATTTCAGTAGATCCGCCTGTTCTGCACCCCACTCTGTCTCTGGTGAATCTTCTCACCCCCTGTACCTCTAGCCTGCACCCTCAGATCTTCCAAACAAAGAAAAAATAAAAATAAAAAATCCCTGCTAAGATGGGCCTTGGGCCCTGAGATCCAGCATTGGCAATAAATAACACAACTCATGACACCAACCAAGGTCAAGGGTCCTGTCCCCACGGGGAAGAACATGCAGCAAGCCATTTCACAGTCTCAGAAAATAGCCATTATGTTGAGCAACCTGTACTTGGTCAAAAGACAAAGGTGGAGACACAGTGCAAAAGTACAAAGAAAATCCATTAAGAGTAATGGAAAATTTTGGGTCTCCCTGGTGGCGCAGCAGTTGAGCGCTGGGTTGCAAAGCTGCCCGCAGTCTCTGCGGTGCCGGTTCGATCCCCGGCTGCTCCCCGGCCACCAGAGGAGGGTCCCACATGGCGCGCAGACCTCTCCTGCCGCCCGCTGCTCCCCTCAGCAGTGTACTTCAGTCCTTCTGCCTGCTCTGCTCCCGGCTCTGGCTCTGGTGAATTCTCTCACCCTCCCGCGCTTCTGACTGTACCCAGTGCTTATATAAATAAATAAATAAATCTTTAAAAAAAAAAAAAAAAAAAGAGTAATGGAAAATTTTAACTAGTGTTTCCTGCACACTACAAAGGACAGCACTTGTTCAGAGAAGTTTGTGGCTTTATTAGACAAATGAAGTTTTATGGGTTATTAGATCTTAGACTATGTTAAAAGACTAATGTTATTAATTTTTTTCCTGAAATTGGTTTCTGTGAGTTTCCCTGCACCAGTTGCTGAATGCCCCTAATTGCTCAGGAGAAGCCTTAATTAAGATATTGCTGTTATACAGCTTCTGAAATAGTGATTATCTTCCCTTCCCCACACTTTCATTCCACTCCTACTAAGAGAGGAATGCACCAAAGAACTAAAACTGCGGACTCAAATTCCAGCTCAGTCACTAATTTCTTGCTGTGTAACCCTGAGCAAATCAATAACCTCTCTGTGCAGTCAGCTTCCTTGTTTATACAAGACTAACACAGGACCTGTCTACCTCTCAGCGCTGCAGCAAGGACTAAACAAGATGATGCACGTTAAGCACTTGTGCAGTGAGCCGTATAGGGTTAGCAACTGATAAAGGCTGCATATCATCATCACACGTGCTACCAGATTAAAAGATTTAAGGTATCACCTCCCCGTTGTTTGCAAAGCTCCTCCATGCTTCTGGAAGGCCTCCTAAGAGTGAAGCAGCTGTTTCAGTGCTTTTCCTTTCTCCAAGTCAACCTGTGGAATCTACATCTGCAGCATAGTTGAAACATACGTTTAAACACCTCCCTTAATGGTGAGGCGCTTCGGCGCTTCGTAGAGTAAAGATAACAACTGACTATCTTGTTCCACAGACCTCTACACTAAGGGTTCTCTTTCTGTGGCACACGCAACAGGTACAAATGCAAGTCGACTCTCACTTCTCTTCATTTCCTCCCCTGGCCCATGAGCGGCTGCTGCTGCTGTCGCCAGGGGATTTCTGCAATGAGGAAGGAGGAGCTTACAAGTGGGCCTTGTGTCACAGGCTCCCTTTCACCCACAAATCTCAGTGCTCGGTCAGAGGCAACGGGAAATGATCTGCACAGGCACATCTATTTCTCTGTCAATCTGCAACTCTGAATTATTTATCTGGGGCAAATTCAGGAAGGCTGTTTATTGATGAGGTGAGGAAGACGTAACTTTGACAAAGTTGCATTTCAAAATCAAGTGAAATTCCAGTGGCGAAATAAACCAGGCTATTTTAAAAAATTTAATGAAACCTATGGACAGGGTAATTCATTAATAAACTAGCTAATGCCCAAAGTTTACCTTATTTTTATATTCATATAGAAACAAGTACTTATAAGGATGAATATCTAAAACCAAGAGAATATCTTTCTAACATCTTTAAAATGGAGGTGCATGGAAAGAGTAGATTAATGTAACAAGGAAAATGAAGTGACTGGAAAAACCTTCCTAGAACAAAAAGAATCTGTTATAATGCACAAGTACATTTAAAAACCAGAAATATCACCATTCTTTCTGTATTTTCTATTGCAGTGATTTCCAATGAGAACTCCAAGTAAAGCATCCTAAATACTTCAAGGAATGTTATAAAATCCTTCTTGTCACCAACATTTTTTTTTTAAAAGATTTATTTATTTATTCATACAAGCACTGGGTACAGTCAGAAGCGTGGGAGGGTGAGAGAATTCACCAGAGCCAGAGCGGGGAGCAGAGCAGGCAGAAGGACCGAAGTACACTGCTGAGGGGAGCAGCGGGAGGCAGGAGAGGTCTGCGCGCCATGTGGGACCCTCTCCGGTAGCCAGGGAGCAGCTGGGGATCGAACCGGCGCTGCAGAGGCTGCGGGCAGCTTCGCAACCCAATGCTCAACCGCTGCGCCACCGGGGAGGCCCACCAGCATTTTTTTTTTAAAAGATCTATTTATTTATACAAGAACTAGGGTACAGTCAGAGGCACCAGAGGGTGGAAGAATTCACCTGAGACTGAGCAGGGAACAGAACAAGCAGACAAACCGAAGACACTGCTGGAGGGGAGCAGCGGGCGAGACAGGAGAGGTCTGCGGAGCCATGTGGGTATCTCCCTGGCCGGCTGGGAATCGAACCCGGGCTGCAGAGGCTGCGTGCGGACAGCTTCGCAGTGCGGTGCTCGACCCACTGTGCCGCCACCAGGGAGGCCCTTGTCACCAACATTTAAGAAATAAAATGGACTTCATTATTTTCTAAAATGTGCCAAAGAACACCTTTTAAAACAAGAACTTGGGTCTCCCTGGTGGCGCAAGAGTTTAAGTCTCAGTACTATGAAGCAATCAACAGCCACTGCAGCACAAGTTTGATCCCCGGCCAGGAAGCTGACCCACGTGGCGCAGCAGACCTCTCCTGTCTCCCCGCTGGTCCCCTCAGCAGTGCATTTCAGATCCGCCTAGTCTGCTCCCCACTCTGTCCCTGGTGAATCCTCTCATCCCACCCCGCACCTCTGGCCTATACTCCAACTCTTGCATGCATAAATAAACAAATAAATCTTAAAAAGGCATAAAAAAATAAAGAGAACTTAAGACACATGGGCACAGGGTTATAATGGCAAATAATTTGGTGTCAACTTCAGATGTTTGGGATCTCTTATTTTACTAGAATAGTTACTACTGGATAAACACACACACACACACACCTAGATTTCATACCCAGTTGAATTTATAAGAAATTATAGGTATGAATATTTCTTAGAAATATTTTAGAAATATTTCTAGAATGTCAGCCATATAGTCATAAATACATAGCAAGAATATTAAGCACAAACATTACAAATGACACACAGCTAGTACCAGTTTCAAAAAAAATAGTTTCTGTGGCAAAGAGTTTTTAGTATCTTAACTTTTACCTGTGCACTAAACTTTATCAGCACCATATATTGATTTGGAGTAGAGTCTCTGATGATTTTCATTTGTTCAATTACTTCATTAAATGGGGCGACAAACTTCATAAGGTCATGACTGGTCATTGTAGCCGGGACGGTGAGGATACACAGCATGGCACTGCGCCTCACGTCTTCTTTTAAGGAAGTCATCTTACTAATAAGACAATAATTAGACTGTCTTAGATAGAGGAGGTATGGTTAGTTCAGACAACACTAATTAGACAACTTTTATGCCCCCCAAAATAGGGAAAAAGACAACTTGTAATACTGCACCAATCAACTTAAACAGCTCGTTATTTTACCTGAAAATACACACTACATGGGGAAAGGCTTCTGCTTCAGCTCGTCTACAGTGCAGTTAAGGTAAGCCTGGACATGTGCTACATTACACCCACTATGGAAATGTTTACTCTTTAGTGGTTATTAATCTGCATTCAGCCAATCTGCTGTTTTTGCATTATTCTCATTAGCTTTTGAAAAACGACCTGACATTTGGTAACTCAGAAGTGCGACTTTAACTCTGGCCTTTCACTGAAGGATCTACAAGATAAAAAAAGCTCCAAATAAGGAAGAGCATTCTCAACTATGAGGTTATGGACCTGAAGATATAAAGTGTTGCTGGTTGGAACAGCTGCAAAGGAGGGAAGAAAAACCTCCCAAAAGATCATTTGTAAACTCACTTTAACAGCTGTGATCCAAAATGGCTAACTGTGTATTCACTGTTCCCCACTGGCGCCCTGGCAAGCAAATTAGGACAAGGACTGTCTTTAAGAGATCAGCTACTCATTACCCCAGGAGCTGACAGCCTGGCTAGTAGATTAGCTCACCAAATGCTCCCATTCCACTGGCCTCTAGTAAGCTTTGTTTGGACCACAGGTAAGGGTTAAAAAAACAAACAAAAAACAAGGTGATGACATTGCAACCCAGTAACTGATTCTCTGGCAGCTTCTTTAGTAAAAATTTTGAGGGGTCATGAGGCCACAATGTTATGGGTCACCTGTAGGTTTTCCTTTTTATCTTCTTTTCTTTCAATTTCCCGCCATCTTCAAGCCTACCTTCCCGAGGAATGTTTTGCTAGCTATTTTCTCAAGCACATCCACACTTTTCTTTAATAAGAAGATTTGACCCACTCTACAAGGTTTAGTAAATGTAAAACATCTAAGAATTCTCAAACATACCATAGAAGAAAGTATTATCCTTTAGTAGCTAAAATCCATTCCCTTTCAGGGCAAGAGATTTTTCTTTGTCCTAAGGCAAAAAATAGACCAACACAAAAAGGAGAAAGTGTTTTCTTACTTTGTCTTATATAGGTGCATAATGCCATGAACTATTTCAACTGATGGATTTCCACTGAAGAATGAGATCTGGTCTGGAAGCTGTTTGGATGGAGAATCGGGAGCAGTGCTTATGCATTCTTTACTTTGATCCTTACTTCTTGATGCAGTAAGGGATGCTTCTGAAGACTTCTTTTCTTCCATGGCAGCTTCTAGCTCATCTTTCACAAATCAAAAATTAGCAGATTATAAACAGATAAGAAATATTTGGAAGGATTCTAATTAGATTAAAACTTGGAGCCAAAAGACTGAACACTGACAGAAATTGCCATGTACTGCATGAGGAACTAAGACAATGAACAGTTGCATTTGGGGTGGGGGGGGGGCATCTCAACTTCCAAGTACTCTCTGCCCCATCAAAATCTTATTAACGCCCCCAGAAACTCAAGGAGGTCTTTTATATTTGGTAGTACCATAAAAAAAGACGGTGTCTTCCATCATGCATTCCTAAGTGGGATAAACATTAGGGCTGTTAAGTTTGAAAACCAAACCTACCAGTTCTGACCACTGCCATGCTGGAGATATAACACCTGGCCACTCCTCTTGGCTGGAGTGAGCTGGCAGAGCAGGGGATGTACAACATGTTTATCTGGATTCACTCAGGACCTGCCCCTGACTAAAGTGGGAAGGTGCTCTCCTCGCTAATAGAGTTGTCATCCCAAGAATTTAGGAGAAATATTTGGCTTGACAACCTTATGCAAGGTACACTGGCAGTGACGGATGAAAAGCATGCTAGAGATCAAAATCACGGGCTCACCAACAACATGCATAAAACTGGCAGCAAGGGACTAACAAGAGTCTAGGGTTCTAGAACGCATACCTGGGTTGGACTTCATGGTCTCAATGATCATATCTGTCATTTCTCGACGCCCAAGGTGCTGATGTATGATTGCTGCTTTCTCCCCTGGTGACTTCCCTTCTAAACAGGCTACGGCTGAAGCTAGTGTCTTCTTTTTGATTTCCTCATCAGACATTTCCCCGGCTAAAGAACACATCAATGATTAATAAGCGAAATAAGAAAAGTTCCCATGCACTCAATGTATCCATCGGTGGTAGGCTGTTCTTCTCTTCTCCTTTTGCTGCCTTCCCCCAAGGTAATAAGACGCCTTTGCAGTACCCATCTCACTCATCTCTGGGGCTCCTGCAGTGCCCAGCAGAGAGTCAGTAAACACCCAGTGTGATACATTCATAAATGCAGGGCAATTCTAGTAAAATAATTTACTTTGAAAGCAAATCAAAAAGAGCAAGAGCTTTGGAGAAGGTTCAACAGTAATTTATCCAGAAGAACCAACATTTTAGTGATACCTGGTGAAGTGAAACTATGTTGCGCTCAGAATGAAACTATCAAGTCCATAAATAAACATGATTTTCAGAAGCTTTTAGGGGCAGTCCTCTTAAGCACCCCAGGATAGCCTCATGCCATGAAAATCTGTCATCACTGTCTTAAACCAGTGAAACACAAAAAAACAGAAAAGGATTTGGAGACTCATTGGATGTCCTTATTATAAAAGCTCTGTCCCAGGAGAAACCAGGCATGTTTCGCCTACCACTGGATCCTCAGCGTTTACTCCACAGTGCCGAGCATACACTGGCAGCTCTAATGATTTGTAAAATCAATGGCTGACCCATGTCACTGTACATATGGGGCTAATGTCAATTCAGCTGACTTTCAGAACTCAGGAATCCATTAAATCATAGTCAATCTTTAATTTGCAGCTCCAAAATTAGCACACAGAAGGAAATTTCCAATGACACCATCTCTACCTGCTCCAGGTCCCTCCCCAAACCAAAGGGAGATCCTCTCCGAATAACTTTTCAAATGGCCTCTTCCTTCCTTCCCAGAACTCATCACGGTTGTAATTCTACATTTATTCTGCAGCGATTTCACTCGTCTGTCTGGGGTACACTGCTGGGGTTATTAAAGCAGGGACTTGTCTGGTTCTACCCACAACTAGAGCTCCAGCAGACAGAGACCACTCAGTAAGTTATTTCGTAAATGGATGTTATGGTTGGGTAATGTCTGAGGCTCAAGGAACTGGCTCTTAGCTGCAGTCCCTGCTAAGGAAGGTGAGTGGCTGGTGATGAAGAGCTCTGATTCTCAAGTCCAGACTCTCAGATTTGCCTTAGAATCCCGGTCTCCCCAGTTACAGATAAGGGCGGGCAAGTCATGTCATCACGGGGATTCAGTTTCCCCAATCTGTAAAAGGGGCAGCCCACCCATCTCCCTGACAGACTTGTCGTGAAGACATTTAAAGCAGGGCGCTGAGCTCCGTGTGGAACTGCTCCGTTTCCTCAGACTTACTGCTGCAGCCCCGGGCGCCGAGTGGCTACTTCTCCCGCGAGGCGCGCCTTCCGTACCCCTGCCCTCACAAAGCCCACGGGCGAGCAACTTGCACCCCCGGCTCCGGGGCAGGGAGGCGGCGACGCGCTCGTGGGAGGGAGGACGCGAGCAGGGATGGGCCGGGCCGGGCCGGGCCGGGCTGCCCCGAGCCCACAGCCGCGGAAGGCCGCCCGGGGCCGGGTGGACGCGCGCGATCCCGGCCGCCTCGCAGCGTCCTCCCCAGGCAGAGCCCTCGCCGCGCCGCCGGCCGGGCCGGCCCTTCGGGAGCGCGACCGCCGGGGCCCGGGCGTCAGGGACTCACCCGCGGCGCAGAAGCCGAAGCCGGCGGGGACGGGCGAGTGTTCCGCGAGCTCCAATCGGATGACAACCAGTGACACACTCATAGGGCAGGCGCGGGCCGGCGCGGGCCCCGGCGGGCTCGGGCAGGGCTGGGAGGCGAGCCGAGAGGCCGAGCGGCCCGGCAGCGCCGCCTCCGCCTCAGGAGCAGCAGCGGCAGCAGCTGCTCCTCGCGCGACGCTCGCAGCCACAACCACCTCCACTTCCGCCTCCCGGCCGCCGTCGCCGACCCTTGGGGTCACGCATGCGCGGCGTCCCGCGCGCCGATTGGCTGGGGCGATGGCCACGTGACCGAGGCGGCCCGGAGGCGAGCGGGCGCCCCTCGGGGTGGGGATCGGGCGGCGCGTCTGGGAGCGAGCGGGGCGGAGGGACGGCGCGGAGTTTGCGGCGGCGCGGTGCCCCCTCAGCCGGTCGGTGGGTGTGCGCTCAGGCCCTGGTCCGCTTGCCCGGGACGCCTCGCCGCCAGCCCAGCGCTGCTGACGGCGAGAGGGCCCCGGCTCCGCGCCTGCTGGCTTGGCCGAGCACCTGCCCTCCTGCCTCTCCGTCGTGTTCGCTCGCGCCTGCCCCAGGCAGAGTGAGCTGTCAGCCGCGGGTGGGTACGCGGAGGCTGAGAGGGGGACTCCGCTTCTCAGGGGGACTCGATCTCAGTGCCGGACTGCTGAGGTGGGCGGTGGGCTGGTGACGCGCGCGGTGCTGGACCTCGATCTGGGCCCTGCTCCTCGCCCCGCTACTTCCCCAGCGCTTCCTGGGGTCCTAGGCGCTCCTGGGGGTGGTGGGGACGCTTGATGATTAAGATAAACACAAAGTTAGTGTGGCACACAGTTCATTTGGAGTCGACCTTGATCATCAGTAGTGTGACCTTCAGCTGCTTGTTGGGATGATACCCACAGGCTCTACATGCAGATATTCTGCGCTTCAGCAGTCTCTGCAGCACGCCAGACTGCCTTCAGCATAGAGAGATTAACACAGAACATGTAGGTGGCATTATTTTAGGTGCATGTCACAGCTCCTGAACATGTGTAGAGGCACGGGCTATGCACGCTATAATATGACCACATGATATAGGTGTCTCTATAACCTGTGACTGCATCTTAGCACATGTGTTTCAGTACAATGTCTATATTAGAGCTTCGCAGCCTTGCCACCATTCATACTCTGAAGCCAGTAATTCTATAGCAAGGAGGGGTGAATGTCCTATGCACCATAAGATGTTCCGCAGCCTCCCTTGTCAGTAGACCTCCACCTGGTGACAACTAAAATAGCTACACACATTGCCAAATGTCCCCCTGGGGTCCAAGTTTTCGTCCTTCCCCTCCAGTTGTCACTGGTTTATGTGAAAGTGCATATGCTGTGTTTGCATAGTACATGCAGGTGACATGAAACTTGTGTCAACCCACAGTATTTAGTGGGCAATATTTAGTGGTGTGCCAGGTACTAATTGAGTGCTTTGCATACTTTACCTCATGTAATACAACTTGATGAGAGGTACTATAATTATTCCCACTTACAGAGCAGGTTCAGAGAGAGAGTAATGTATCCAGGATCTCACAGTCAGTAAGTGACATCTATAATTTGAACCCAAGCAATCTGATTCCAGAGCCACTCTCAACCTCTTTACTAAAGCATCTATTTAAAACACAACACACTATGCATGTTTAGGAAAGCATAGATTAGGTAGCAAATTACATTGTCATGCTAATCTCATTCTAAGAGATTAGGGAGAACACAAGTGTTTTTTACTGTGCAGAAGGAAAATGCCAGGTGCAGAGAACTAGACTTGTTAGCCAAGGAGGAGCAAGTCGGGCATTGTCGTTCTTTGTGACTGTCAACCACTAAATCTGTTTTCCCATTTTCTGATTCATCTAGTTTATTCAATCTTCCAACTCCTATTTATGCTAAGCACCTGCTCTGTGTCTAGACACTGCGCTGGGCCCCAGGGGATGGTGATATGCAAAGATGAGTAAGATCATTTTAAGGAGCTTAAAATAATAGGAGCAGATAGACATGAAAACAGTTACTGGGTGAGGGGGGCAGATGCAGTAGCTTGGGGAGAGACAAGCAGCAATGGGAGGGGAAAAGGAAAAAGGGTAAGGCCAGGCAGAGTGTGCGGGAAAAGAAAGAAAAGCCTCTCCAGAGGAGGTAAAGCCAAGGCTATGATGTGAAGGTGATGTAAAGTTGGCCAGGTAGGTAAAGCAGGAGAGAGGTATGAGGAATCACAGCCCCCCGACCTCCCTGTCCCAGGCATGCTGGGAAGTGACTAGAACAGAACCATTCTCTCTAGTTGGAAGGAATAAGCACACTAGTCGTGGGAGCGTTGCCCACTCATCCACTAGCAAGAGTAAGTGAAGGACAGCATTCCCAGTGGGGATGAAAGTCAGCCCTGCAGGCCCCAGAGACACTTCATCTCTGTCACACAAAAAGTGTTGACACTTTTAGGAGCCTATAAATAAATTTCTCCTTCCATCATAAACTTTAGCCTTGGCATAGGAACAAGTAAAACTGAAAATGCAAATCAACCTCTAATTTTTTTTAAGATTTATTGATTTATATATATGAGAACTGGGGTACAGGGCAGAGGTGCAGGGGTGAGAAGATTCACCAGAGACAGAGTGGGGAACAGAACAGGCAGACTGACTGAAATATACTGCTGAGGGGAGCAGCAGGCGAGACAGGAGAGGTCTGCTGTGCCATGTGAGTAGCTCCCTGGCCTGCGGGAATCGAACTTGTGTTGCAGAGGCTGTGAATGGCTTCGTAGTGCTGTGCTTAACCCCTTGCACCACCAGGGAGGCCCCAACCTCTAAATTTTTAATTTCAAAATTCACTCACCAATTCAGCAAATTTCCAGTCATGCAAGACACATTTTATATCATCTTGAAGATTTACTGCTTTAGGACCTTCTCTTTAGATGCTCACATAGTTGACTGAATCCTTAAGGAGTTCCTGAAGTGATTCCCTTAAACATGTAGTTCGTCTTACCAACCTGTTCTTCTCTTAACCCCATAGTAAGCTTTTTAAAAAAGATTTATTTTTATTTATGCATACAAGAACTGGTGTGTAGGCCAGGGGTGCAGAGGGAGAGAGGATTCACCAGAGACAGAGTGGGGAGCAGAACAGGAGGATCTACTGAAATCCACTGCTGAGGGGAGCAGCGGGCAAGACAGGAGAGGTCTGCTGCGCCATGTGGGTCAGTTCCCTGCCCAGGAATCGAACTCATGCTGCAGTGGCTGGTAATAGCTTGATAGAGTTGAGACTTTTAACTATAGAAATTACATTAAAAAGCTTCAAGATTTTCACAAGGAAGTGACTGCAAATAGAATTTACTTTAATTATTCTGTCCCCCTGCCCTTTTTATTTCAAACCTGCAGAAATTGACAGATTAATACATTAATCTCTCATGTATCCTTCACCTAGATTGACTGACCATTGTTTTTTATGCTTCTGTGGTGTGTGTGTGTGTGTGTGTGTGTGTGTGTGTGTGTGTGTGTTTCTGAAAAAGAGGTAGTTTAGAAAAGAGGAAATGGAGAACAGTTTGGAGGCTGCTGCAGCAATCTGTAGGAGGAATGGTGATGTGACGGTGGCACCAGGAGTGCTAGGAGGACGTGAGGACAGGGTATCTTGGAATAGAGGAGAGTCCTGATCGCTCTTTCCTGGTAGAGAGAGAGGTTTCATGAAGGAAGTGATGGGTAAGCTACAACCTAAAGGACATTTTGGAGTTAGCCAGGTAACTGGTGCAGGGAAGCAATCCAGGCCAAAACACAGCATAAGCAAGACCCTGGTAGCAGGAGAATGTGTTTGAAGAAACTGCACCTAGGTTTGCATGTCCAGATCATCCAGATTAAGGTGAAGAGAGAAAGAAGGTGGTGGGGCAGGTTGTTGGCTAAATCAGGAAGGCAGATCCTAGAGTGCCCTGTAAGCCAAGTTGGGGAACTGAGTTTATCTGGAGGCAATTGGAAGCCATTGAAGGGTTTTTTTTTTTAAAGATTTATTTATTCATGCATACAAGAATGGGGGGTACAGGCCAGAGGTGTGAGGGGTGAGAGGATTCACCAGAGACAGAGTGGGGAGCAGAACAGGCAGACTGACTGAAATACACTGCTGAGGGGAGCAGCTGGTGAGACAGGAGAGGTCTGCTGCGTCATGTGGGTCGCTCCCTGGCTGGGGATCGAACTCATGCTGCAGTGGCTGCGGACAGCTTCATTGGTTGCATCTTAACCCCTTGCAGCACCAGGGAGGCCCCGCCATTGAAGATTTTAAACAGAGTTAGAGTGTGATCAAATTGGCCATTCTGAAAGATTATGGTGGTTAAAAAGTAAAGAAAGTTTTAGAAGGAGAATTGAGAAGATGCCAGGGGACCATTCAGGAGGCTGAGGCAAGGATCTGTGGGTCAGATGTTAGCTGGGAGAGAGGGGACAGGAGGACGGAGACCCTCAGGGGCCTTGACGGCCCAGGTGGCATTGAAAGCTGGACAAAGTCAGGGCAAGACCCATTTTTCTAACTGGAGCAGCTAGGTGAGTGGTGGAGCCCTTCACCTAGGAACTTAGAAAAAGGAATGATGGGTGAGGGCGGACACCCCAATTTCAGTTCTGGCTGTGCTTTGAAGGGGAGATAGTTGGAAATGTCCAGTTGGCACCCCGAGCGTCAGGATGGAGGCAGCAAAGGCAAACGATACCCTGTCTTTCTTCTCATGCAGCCTGGCCCGACATGAGCCTAAGGAGGCTTTTCCAGTCTGCTCAGCTCCATTGGGCATGGAGGGGAGCCCTCCTGAAACACACGCGGTACAGGCGCCAGGGAACCCCTCGATGGACACATTCTGGAGGCGGCACCTACCGGGCGGTGATTTTTGACATGAGTGGGGTTCTCATTCCTTCTCTGGGCAGAGTGGCTGCAGGTGAGCTCTTCTTTCTGCTTCACTTTCTGAAACTGCGGGAGGGGAGGAAGTAGGGAGGGCGGGGAGGGGAGAGGCTGTGGGCAGCAGCTATCCTGGGGGTAAAATTCTGGCTCTTGAATCAAATTCCAAGCATCATCTTGGACAAATTATTCAACTTCTCTGAGTCTTCGTTTCCTCATCCTTAAATCAGGGCTAAAAATAGAACCTACCTCTTTGGGACTTGGGGAGGATGAAATAGTGCTTACAAAGCACCCAGTTCGCACAGCAGGTGCCCTGCTGTTCCTCAACTCTCAGTAAGTGATGACCTGCGGTTATTGCCGTCCCTGGCAGGGGTAGAGCGTGGCTGCCTGTCCCTGAGAACTGTGCTGCTTGTGAAATTTGGGGTGCTGGAATTTTTGCTCCGGTCACTAGCTTCCCATGTCCACGTCCCTCCCTCTAAACTTGCTTTTGGGCTACGAGATCAAAGCTCTCATCTCCTATCCCTGCTTCATCAGCCCCTCTCTGGCTTTGCTTTTTCCCCTACTCAGTTCAACTGACTTTTCTTATAGTAGTTTTGGCTTCAAATGTTGGACAAACCTACTGTGAAAGAATGTGAAATGCGAAAACGATGCAAATTTTAAATTTCCAAATGAAATTTTGGGGGGACACAGTTATGCCCATTTATTCATAGATTATGCATGTCTGCCTTTTTCCAGAAAGTTTGCCAACCCTTGATTTAGGCTGCTATTTTACTACAAAATTAGTATACACTTGACCGAAAATTTAGACTACAGCCCAAACACTTTAGCCTCATCTTCAGGAGGTATAGTATAATCAGACTATTTTTGTCAGTGTGATGGATGAAATGCTATTGCTGTGGTTTTTTCTCTTTGGGTTATTTTAATATTCAGGTTGAGTGCTTTTTTTTTTTTTTTTTTTTTTTTTTGGTATATTTATTGGTCACTAAAAGGCAAAGTTTTCCCTTTCCGTGAATTGCTCGTTTTTATTATTGATTGGCAAGAATGGCCTGTCCTGTGTTATATTGCTTGCAAATATTTTCTCCCTTCTGTGGCCTGTCTTTTATTTTATTTATAAAGTTCTGTGATACCAGATTTTCCACTTTTAATGGCATCAGAATCATCTGTGTTTTTCTCTGTGGCCTGAGCTTTATGAGTCTTGGTTAAGAAAGCCTCTTCCTCAAACTCATAAAGATGTTCTGTCTTGTTTCCTGTTTCAGAGTTCTAGTATCTGTTTTTTTTTTTTTAATCTTTTGGGGATTTATTCTTGCAATGGTGTGAAATCGGATTTATGTTTTTTCATATTGAAACTCAGTTATGCCAACCTCATTTATTGAATAGTAAGTGCAAAAGTATAAAAAGTGCAAAAGTAAATTTCTGCCTCTCGCTTCTACCCCATTTGTGTTCCCCCTGTCTCCCCACCCCCACCCCATACAAAGTAGTACCACTAGCCTTAGAAGTCTGAGGTTGGGATTTTGCATTTCCTGACTTTCTCTGAATTCCCAGCCACTTGTCAACATATTGCACTTATTGTATGTCTTGCTTCCTGTAGAATGGGAAGCACAGAATCAAATCCCTTCTGGAACGATACTGAGAGCCTTGATCGCGGGTGGTGAAAACGGGCCCTGGATGAAATTTATGAGAGGAGAGATAACAACAGAAGTTTTCTTACAAGAATTTGGGCTCCATTGTTCTGAAATGGTGAGTGACAAGTGTACTTGAATTTCCATATTCTTTTTGCCTAGAGTAGTGGATGCAACACACAGCCATGAAGCTGGTTAAACTGCAAATACAGAAGTGAAAGCCTAATAACCCATTAGAAGCTTTCCAGCTATTGCTTCCTTTCCCAGGTACACAACTTTAGCTCCACATATGAATAAATACGCATGTCCTTCACTAAGCTACTCCAGCAGACGTCATTCGTCTGAAACAGGACCTCCCTGTGTAACAACGTTGGTCAAAAAGCTTATTTAAAGGCTTTTCGGGCCTCCCCGGTGGCGCAGCGGTTGAGCGCTGGGTTGCGAAGCTGCCCGCAGCCACTGTGGCGCCGGTTCGATCCCCGGCTGCTCCCCAGCCACCGGAGGAGGGTCCCATATGGCGCGCAGACCTCTCCTGCCGCCCGCTGCTCCCCTCAGCAGTGTGCTTCGGTCCTTCTGCCTGCTCTGCTCCCCGCTCTGGCTCTGGTGAATTCTCTCACCCTCCCGCGCTTCTGACTGTACCCAGTGCATGTATAAACAAAACAAACAAACAAAATAAATAAATAAATAAAAAACATGCCTCTATAAAATAAAAAAAAAAATAAATAAATAAAGGCTTTTCTCTGTATTATGTATTGTTCTAACTCTTTGTTTATATTAATTCATGAAACCTTCATAATAACCTTGCTAAAATATAGTAAGGTTCTGTGGACGGAGGATGAAGATGGTTGTTTAATGTACTTATTAATCTACTTATTAGCACTCAGCTCTGCACTAGAGGGCTAAAATGGTAAATTATACATATTATATATATATATATATATATATATAGCCACGAATATATATACACCTTGAAAGCATTATGCTAAGCGGAAGATGCCTCATAGTTGTATGATTCCATTTATATAGTGTCCAGAGTAGGTAAATCTACAGAAATGGAAAATAAATTAGTGATTTTCTAGGATGGGGGAGTGGGAGCAGGGAGTGACTGCTAATGGCCATGGGGGTTCATTTTAGAGCAATGAAAATGTTCTAAGATTGCAGTGATAGTTGCACAATTTTGTGAATATATTAAAAACCCTTGAATTGTACACTTTAAAATGAGCAAATTGTGTGATATGTGAGTTGTGTATCAATAAATATATGAATGTGCTTAAGGTAGTAAACTTGCTTTGCAGATTTTGAAACGTGATAAGAGTTTCAAAACCACACAGACTGAATTTAAAAACAAAAAAATTGAATAGAAACTGAAGTCGTAATGGCGATGCTGAGGAATCCAGTCATTAAATGTCTCCTGGATCATTAAAAATTAAATTACATCTGCTTAATACGGTTTGAGAGTTTAATGTATCCTCTTCTGGGATTCTGATACTTTTTAAAACTGACAACCCCTGAGTGAAAAAAAGAAGTCAATTAACTGGAATCTTGCTATTAATAGCTCTAGTCCCTAACCATTGTGACTCTAATTCTGAGTCATTTTTTTACAGCCTATGTAGGCCAGATTCTGCTCAAGTTTCAAGGGAGACCATCCCTTTAGGCCGCAAACCAGGGGCCCAGCCCTTACAACCAAGTAGTCACAGGTAGCCAATGATAAGTGTCTCTGGGGCCTCTCCAGTGGCCTAGGGGTTAAGCCTCAGTGCTATCACCACTAAGGCCTGAGTTGGATCCAGCCAGAGATCTGACCCACATGGCACAGCAGACCTCTCTTGTCTCGCCTGCTGCTCCCCTCAGCAGTATATTTCGGTGGCTCTGCCTGTTCTGCTCCCCACTCTTTCACCCCTGTACCTCTGGCCTATACCCCAGTTCTTCTATGCAAAAAAAAAAAAAAAAAAAAGTCTGTGTTGGCGATGAGCTTCTGACTCCTAACGATAGGTGGTTCTCTCCCCTTCCTTAGTCGAAGATGTCCGTGCCTGTGGACTCCTTTTTCTCCTTGATGACCAGTGAGCAAGTGACAAAGCAGTTCCCAGTGATGACGGAGGCCATAACTCAAATTCGGGCAAAAGGCCTTCAGACTGCGGTCTTGAGCAATAATTTTTATCTTTCCAATGGGAAAAGCTTCTTGCCCCTGGACCGGAAACAGTTTGATGTGGTAAGCTGAAAGGGATCCAAAACAATCAAAGAGGGTTCCTGTCCCTGCTTCAGGCTTTAAACACTGCCTTTTAGTAGGTCTTGAGTGACTACGTTTTTTATTTAGACATTTGAGTAAATTAGGTGTAGATGTAATAGGTTGCAAAGAGGGCTTTGGAAATATTACTGTACTCTTGGCAAGGTCAAACATTTATAGACCTTTATAGATTTGACAACGGGTTGAAAACTCAGTTTTGATTCCCTTCTGTTCGGGATTTGAACTTTCATCGTCACGTAACACAAGTGCTTCCATCAGACCTTACTTAATGGGTCTCTTGACCTTTTCAAAGACCAACCCTGTTGCCTTTATTTTCATGGCATTAATCCTTAAACCTATCCAATAAAAGTTTCTGCAGAAGGGAAAATGCCCAAACTAGACACACACAATCATTAAGCACTTGAAAAGTGGCTAGTGTCACCGAGGAACTGAAGTTTATTACATTTTCATGAATTTAAATGTAAATAATCACCTGTGGGGCCTCCCTGGTGGTGCAAGGGGTTAAGCACAGCACTGTGAAGCTGTCCACAGCCACTGCAGCACGAGTTCAATCCCCACCCAGGGAGGTGATCCACATGGCGCAGCAGACCTCTCCTGTCTCTCTTGCTGCTCCCCCCAGCAGTGTATTTCAGTCAATCTGCCTGTTCTGTTCCCCACTCTGTCTCTGGTGAATCCTCTCACCACCACCCCCTGCCCCACACCTCTGGCCTGTAGCCCAGTTCTTGTATGCATAAATAAATAAATCAATCTTTAAAAAAAATAATCACCTGTGGGTAGTGTCTACTACTGGACAGCACCGTGCAGGTCTCGCCAAGTACATTGAGAATGACCTATGTCAAGAGGTGATTTTCTGGGCCGGGAGGTGACTTCTAAGAAAGATTCCCCAGTTTCCTAACAAAATAGATCACTATCCCAGGATAGATGTGAATTATTGATAGATGATGTGCTTAAACCTCACTCAGCCAGAAAACAGATTCTTACTGAGCTGTTACTGTGACCAGGCGCTGGGCTGGCCTCGAAGGAACACCGTGTTGAATGTGACAGATAAGTTGAATCTCAGGAGCTTAGTGGCCTCGCAGCTCATGGCTGTTGTACTAGGCAGTGCGATAGAGAGCATTTCCATCATTGCAGAAAGTTCTGTTGGGTACTGCTGTTTTAGCACATAACATTTAGTAGAACTGACAGGCAGAAATTTAGAGCACAGAGTGTTGGCAATTAACCTCATATTCAATCTCCTCCCTCCTTGAAGCAAGACTTACAGCAATGGAATTCTCTCCCCTCGGTCAGGCCCTGCCTGACTCCATACCCTCTTTGGTGTAGCACATCGTCATTCATGCTTACCTGGAGAAGGAGGCTTCCCCTCATCTTCCTGGAACAACTCTTCAATAAATAAGACTTCTAATTTAATCTGTATTTGAACATACCGACCTTGCTCCCAGAGTTCCGGACTTGCCAAGAAGGTAATAGAAACCTTGAGCTGTCCATGCCCTAGAACAGAAAGATAAAGCCAGCTTCTTATCACCTGAACTCTAAAATTTTTTCACTTGCCTAAACACGGTCACCCAAGAAGTGATGTCTGCTGGCCAGCACTTGGCCCCCTGGCTCTGGGTTCACCTGCCTGCCCCCAATCTCTCTTCATAGTAGGCACAGCAGGTCCCTAAAACACCTGACTACTCTGCCACTCTCTATGGATGGGTTCTTTAGAGGGGGCTTCTTGCTCTTCTGTTAGCTCCTGCAGGCCCTTAGAAGACAGGGAAGAGTACAAGAGAGGTCCCCTTTATTTAGGACATATTGACCTGAAAAGACAGTTCTCATCCAGCCTGGAATAATGCGAATGTGGAGCAGAGGAAGAGGCCCTTGGTTTTGCCCTTGGTCTTGGAGAGCGAGGGTCATTCCAGGGTGAGTCAGGGACTTGGTGCTATTCTTAGGACAGACCAGGAAGTGTCCCTCATAGGCCCTGGGGCTGTCTTAGGCCCACGTTATCAGAAATTAAGCCCTATGGACTGTGTGGGAGGACTTCCAGGATGTGGCTGGATCAGAGATGACCTGACCCCGAGACAGCTTTCTCAGACTGCTCCTGAAGCCTCAGCAGCCCCCTGTTCCTGCTCAGATGAAGGGATGAAGCAGGACTGTCAGGATACAGGAGGCTCTTAGCATGAAAGCGACAGTGTCCCTTTTTTTCCCCTTTGCCACTGATAGCTCCACTGGTCTCGATCCTCTTGTGGGATTCATCTAGACTGAGCACGACTATTTGTTTGTTAACCTCTGTTTAAAACAGACATTAAAGTGAGGTTTCTTTTCTAGCAGTAAAAAGTGTTTTCTTTCTGGAAAAATCGTGAAGTACTTTCCATGAAGCTGAAATAGACAGCTTTTCTTTTGCTCTGTGTAGCCACAATATCTAACACTAGGAAAATGCTTTGTCATTTTGGAACTCATTCACCTTTCACAACCGCTAAGATAAATGAGGTGGCTGTCAGCCTCCCTGTCTTGCTGAGGATGACACTGAAGCCCATCCCGGCCTCACTGTTTGCCCAAGGTCACTCACTGTGTTTGAACCAGAACTTTGGTTCTGGGTTGGTCCCAGCTTGTAGCCCAGTATTTCCAAATCATCCAACCTAAAAAAGCAACATCATTTTTATGTCATAACACTCTTTAGTTACTTGTTATAACAAATATCAACTGTCCCCCACCTTTTTTAAAAAAAAGATTTATTTATTTATGCATACAAGAGCTGGGGTACAGGCCAGAGGTGTGGGGGTGAGAGGATTCACCAGAGACAGAGTGGGGAACAGAACAGGCAGATTGACCGAAGTACACTGCTGAGCAGCGGGCGAGACAGGAGCGGTCTGCTTCGCCATGTGGGTTGCTCCCTGGCCGGCCTAGGATCGAACTCACGCTTGCAGAGGCAGCAGACAGCCTCATAGGTTGCGTCTTAACTGGTTGCGCCACCAGGGAGGGCCCCCCATCTTTTTTTTTACTGTGCCAGTGTGTATGTGGGATCACCCACTGCCTCATTTTAGGGACTCATGTCTCATTCCTGTCCCTCCTGCAGGTCGTGGAATCCTGCTTGGAAGGTGTCTGCAAGCCTGACCCTCGGATCTACAAGCTGTGTCTGGAGCGGCTAGGCCTGCAGCCATCCGAGTCCATCTTTCTTGACGATCTTGGGCTGAATCTAAAAGCAGCTGCCAGCCTCGGAATTCGCACCATTAAGGTAATGGTCACTATTTTTGGCACCGCATAAGCATTTCTGTACAGACCTTTACGCTTATAATTGTAGCTGTCTTCTGTGGTTTCCCCCTGTGCTGCCATAATCTTTTTTATTAACGATGAAATCTATGTTGCCAACTGCTTGTGTGTTCTATGGGAAGTGTGGCAGAGAGGTCCAGTAATCCCCCCTTATCCACATTTTATTTTCCTTACATGATTGCAGTTACCCCCAGTCAACCATATTCCAGAAGTATTACCTATAATAATATAACGACAAATAATAAGATGTTCTTATCTAACTTTTATTATACCATATTGTTATAATGTCCTATTTTATTAGCTACTGTAGTTAATCTCTTACTATTCCTAATTTATGAATCAAATTTCATCATATGTATGTTTAGAAAAACATATGGTTTAATGGTTTGTCTGTAGTTTTAGGCGTCCATTGTGGGTCTTGGAGTGGACCCTGCACACAAGGAGGTGAATGGCTGAGGGTCACGTTGGTGGCAGTCAGGCTGCCTAGGTACCAGCCACTCTGGGCACCCCAGGTCATGGCTGTGAGGCACACGAAGCCACGTGAGAGGGCGTCGCAGGCCAGCTCTTTGTGTTTGGGTTTTTATCATGAAGATGACGGACCCAAAGGGACAGAGTGGATGCTGCAGCACAGCGTGCTGCCTCCTAGCACGAGAGGGTGTCCTGGACTCTGAACCTGCACTCTTCCCAGAGCTAGAAAGTGCGGTGTGGTCAGGAATTAAATGGAAAGAGAAATCTCATGCAACAGCTTCTTCATTTGCTGAACATCCTGACTCCAAAGTCCTTGGTCAGAGAACAGATTTCTTGGCTGTTTGCCTCTAAAAAACAGGCCTCCTGGGAACAGAGAGGAGGAGAGGTCAGGGCTGACTGGCGGTACATGTTCAATGTTCTCTTTGAAACCAGGTGAACGACCCAGAGACAGCAGTCAAGGAATTAGAAGCCCTCTTGGGTTTTAGTTTGAAAATGGTTATTCCAAACACTGGCCCTGTGAGAAAGACAATGGAAATTCCAAAAGATTCCTTGAAGAAATACCTCAAAGACTTACTGGGCACCCAGACCACAGGTATTTAAGCTTTTGTATTTGGTGACTCTTTCCAAGGCTGGCATTTCAGTCTGGTTCTTACTTCCAAACCCTTGTGGAATGTGCTGGAGACAAAGAGGCGGTGTTGGGGGAACAGCCATTGGGCCCCAGCCACTCGGAGTGCTGCTTTCAGTTTTGCCTGGGGAAAAAGCATAACCTCCTTTTTTATGAACCCCCAAAAGTGTACCTGCCCCCCCTTTGCCTTGAGGGCATGGTGTGGCAGCCATCCCCACAAATGCTGCCAGGGAGGCTGCAGCTGTGCACCCCGGGCATTGAAGCATTTCTAGGGCTTTTGAGATGACAGCCTCTTTGGTGAAGGTGACTTAGAGTCTGCCTCATTTTAAAATGTGTCATGTTGTCTCCATCTTCTCAAAGGCCGCTCCCTCATTCTTCACCTTCCACCCTCAGAAAAACAGGTGCCTCATGAGCTTTTTGAAGAGATTTCTATACCTGGGGATAAAGCCTTGCCTCACCCGTTGATCCTTGAGAACAATTTTTTGTATGGAGTGTCACATGATGACATTTTCCAGTGACTGGACTAGTCTTAGTGCCTCTACAAAGCTAAGGGACCTTTTGCAACCCGGCCTGCTCACTCAGGCAAATGCCTGTTGCTTTTCTGCTCTTCTAAGTGAAACGAATCTATGTCCAAGTGCAGTCTTGTTACGAAGCTGAGGGTTAATTAGGACATTTCTGTAAGGGAGTCACAGAGTTCATCCTAGTGGGGTGGGAAACCACATCTTGTGAAAGCAGCTTTGGCTTGAGCTGTCGGCCTCCGCACGGCTCCTTTCAGCTGTCAGCAGTGGCAGGCCTGGTCTGGCCGAGCAGGGGCCGAGGGAGGTACAAGGGCACTTTTCATCCCTCGGCTTAAAGCATTCCACTTAGCAAGATGGGTTGCCATGACGGTGCTTGTGGTTGCTAACCAGAACTAAAAAGCTGCTCTTCACGAAGCAGGAGTTGGCAAGAAGTACAAAATTGGACACCCGCACAAAGTGAGAAAGTTATTGTGGTGTGAATCAAGTGGCCTTTGCCACACTGTAGTAGCATGTGATGCCCGAGCTGGCAGGGTCTGACTGGGACGCATTCACCTCTGCTACCCAGGCACAGGGTGCTTTGCTTGCAGCTCAGCACGAATCAGGCCATTTCGCATGTTCTACACGCAGACTCAGTGGAGAGCATGTCTGCATGTCTGTCCAGATCTGGGCTCCAGAGCAGGTTTGAGTTTTCTTTGTTTTCAAACTTGCAGGCCCGTTGGAACTTCTTCAGTTTGATCATGGGCAGTCAAATCCAACTTACTATGTCAGGCTGGCCAACCATCAGCTGGTTCTGAGGAAGAAGCCGCCAGGGACGCTCCTTCCATCTGCGCATGCAGTTGAGAGGGAGGTCAGGTAAATTCTCAGGGTCTCGCATGCTCTACCCAGCTAGCAGGCTTGAGCTCAGCCTCTGAGCTGCCAGGTCAGCGCTCAGCATACCCCAAGGCATTCCAGATTGCAAGGGTGAATTATCAGAATTATTTCAAATAAGAACATGGAACTGGGCCTCCCTAGTGGCGCAGGGGTTAAAGACAGCACTATCAAGCTATCGGCAGTCACTGCAGCACAAGTTCAATCCCCCGCCTGCCAGGGAGCAACCCATATGGTGCAGCAGACCTCTCCTGCCTCGCCCGCTGTTCCCCTCAGCAGTGTATTTCAGTCAATCTGCCTGTTCTGCTCCTCACTCTCTCTGGTGAATCCTCTCATCCCCCTGTACCTCTGGCTTATACCTCAGTTCTTGTATGCATAAATAAATAACTCTTAAAAAAAAAACAAGAACATGGAATTTAATTTTACTCAGATATTGGTTTTCTCTTTTCTATACCTAGATGAAAAACACATTACAAGATACTCTTTAGTCTTTCTTTTTTATTTTTTTTTTAGATAAGTTTTCTTTTTAATTTATTTTCTTACATCATGTTCATCTTTTTTTTTTTTTTTAAAGATTTATTTATAGGGCCTCCCCGGTGGCGCAGCGGTTGAGCGCTGGGTTGCGAAGCTGCCCGCAGCCTCTGCCTCGCCGGTTCGATCCCCGGCTGCTCCCCGGCCACTGGAGGAGGGTCCCGCATGGCGCGCGGACCTCTCCTGCCGCCCGCTGCTCCCCTCAGCAGTGTACTTCGGTCCTTCTGCCTGCTCTGCTCCCTGCTCTCGTGAATTCTCTCACCCTCCCACGCTTCTGACTGTACCCAGTGCATGTATAAACAAACAAACAAACAACCAAATAAATAAATAACATGCCTCTAAAAAAAAAATACACATTAAAGATTTATTTATACATGCACTGGGCACAGTCAGAAGTGTGGGAGGGTGAGAGAACTCACCAGAGCCAGAGCAGGGAGCAGAGCAGGCAGAAGGACCGAGGCACACCGCTGGGGGGAGCAGCGGGCGGCAGGGGAGGTCTGTGAGCCATGTGGGACCCTCCCTTGGTGGCCCGGGAGCAGCCGGGGATCAAACTGGCGCTGCAGAGGCTGTGGGCAGCTTCGCAACCCAGCGCTCAACCGCTGCGCCACCGGGGAGGCCCCTAGTCTTTCTTTTTTAAATAGCAAGAGTTCATCTTTGTTTCTTAATAAATGATCAGTATTCCATTGTATGTATATATGTACACATCTCTTTTTTTATCCATTCATCCATTGAAGTACATTTGGGTTGTTTCTATATCTTTGCTATTGAAAATAATGCTGCAGTGAGTATAGAGGTTGCAGATAACTTTTTGAACTAGTGTTTGCATCTTCTTTTACTGAATACTCAGAAGTTGAATGGCTAGATCATTAGGTATTTTTATCCTTAATTTTTGCAGCAGCTCCATGCTGTTTTCCATAGTGGCTGCCCCCATCTACATCCCCCGGCCATGTACCTGGGCGCCTTCACTCTGTGTCCTCCCACACTTGCTGTTTCCTTGGGTCTTAAAGTCAGCTTGTTTGGCAGTTGGGCTGTTGCCAGAACAAGGGTGACCCTAGGTTGACAGCTGTTGAAGCGGGGTGAGGGGCTCTTGAAGGTTGGTGAGATGAGGCTCTACTTTTTTTATGCTTGAAATTTTCCAACATGAAATGTTTAAAAGAATAAATCACAGCCCGTCCCAAATAAAACAGTTTGCTTTGCAAATAGGAACATTTTAGCAGAACAAATTAGCTCCAAGCCTCTTGCAGAGTGAGTGCAAGCTGAACGGGACCACTTTTGCTTCTTTTCTGTCCTCCTTCCTTCCAGCCTTTTGTGCTCTGCAGAAGGAAAGTTTCTGTCTTCTAGTTGGAATGTTAGTCTATTAAATTTAATGTAATGATTGATATGTTTGATTTATGACTTCACTGTTCGTTCTTTTTGTTTCTCCCATCTGTTTTGTTTTGATTTTTTGTTCTTCTTGCCTGCTTTTGGGTCAGTTGAATATTTTTAAATTTCACTTTAATTTCTTCCTGTATTAATTTTTGAATCAGAAGAATAACTTCAAGAAAGTCTCATTTAGTCAACCAGCAGTGATGCTTGGTGTTTTTTTTGTTGTTTTTGTTCTGGCAGGGTAATGAAAGCCCTGGAGAGTGCTGGAGTCCCTGTCCCCAAGGTTCTTGACCTTTGTGAAGATTCTAGGTGATGTTCAAATTTATTTTTTCCATTGCATCTTCAGAAGAGAAAAAGCCACATTCCTTGTCCAAATTCCAGTGTGCTAGAGTAAGGACAGATAACATTTGGATAGGAGAGAAAAAAGACTTTATAGCAACCTCCCCTAGGAGCTAATAACTGTTAAGTTATCCTGAAACATAAGGAAAAGCCTGCTTTTGTGAGAATTGGCTGAAAAAATTCTCTTTAATACCAAAAATACATGTCCATCTAGTTTTATGTTGTCTGTTCTTGTTAATTTTTTATGGACCTTTCTAAAATGTTTACATTTCTCTGTAAGTCTGTCTCTTTCCCAACTTTTTAATTATGAGCATTTTGAAACATACAGAAAAGTTAAAAAAAGAAATAGTATAATGTGCATCCATTTTACTTCATCTAGATTAAAACATTGTTAGCATTTGCCATGTTTGCTTTCCATCTGTATGTATGTAAGTATGTACACACTATATGTGTGTCTAGATAAAATAATTTTATATAAATAGTAATGATTATATAATAAAACAATTTTATAAAATAAAATGTTGCAGATAATGTATAATTATGTGTAATTATTTTATAAATAAGTTAAGTATATTATGATATTTATATGTTAGTTTTGACTGAAACTTTTGAAGAAATTTACAGACAGCACTGAAGTCTTGAAAATAAAGACATTTTGTTCGTCATCATAGCAGCATATTACACTGAAGATAATTCACAATTATTTAATAATATAACTTAATATCTAGCCCATGTTCAAGTCAGGATAAACAGTTTTGGTGGTAGAATTTTCAAGACAGCTCTTTAGATTAGTAAACTGGTTTCAACATTAACAGATGGATTAGTGACATTTCAGCATGTGACCTTAACAGCTGCCCTTCATCCTACCTTGTTATGATAAAGATGGCATCAATAATGAGGAGTATTTTTGAACCCTCTGGAGCCAGACATGTATGCCAGGCACTCCATATATAATTGCTCCCTTATTCCATACCACTGTGAAGTTTTACAGATTAAGAACGAAAAGCTAAGTGTTCAAAGTCTCTCGTGATCACACTGCTAGGAAGGGTAAGAGGGAGGATTTAACCTAATTCTGTATGACATAGAAGCCTTCATGGCAACTTGCTGCTTTTTTAGCCCACTACAGCCTATTCCGAGGCTTCCACAAGTGGCCTGAAGAGAAGAGAGGCATGCGGGCTGTGTGTGAGGACTGATCCGGAAGGAGGGCCCTTGTAGCCCTCCATGCTTGTGTGCAAAGGGAGAGGCAGGTGTCTCACACCCTGGTCAGAATGCCTTCCCATATGCACAGGACGGTTAGAAATAGCGTTGGCATGACTAATGCAGTTACATCATGAGCTGGGCCACTGAAGCCCCCTGTCTCCATCCCCCAGGGTCATCGGTACCCCCTTCTATGTGATGGAGTACTGCCCAGGGGTCATCTACAAAGACTCCTCTCTGCCAGGCTTGGAACCCAGCCAGAGACGGGCCATCTACACAGCCATGAACAGAGTCTTGTGCCAAATCCACAGCGTGGACTTCAAGGCCGCGGGCCTAGCAGACTACGGGAAACCCGGTGAGCACAAGGCCGTCTGTCTTAGCTGCCAGCCATTTCCACACTGGTGCCTTTGCTTTTGGGGTTTGCATGGTGTCGGGGTGTTCACCCACCAGTGTTTGCTAAGTGCGAAGTGGGCTTATTAGCTTCCTTCTTGGAAGTCCAGTTTCATTTTAACGGAGAAGTTGCTTACCTAGACATTTTGTCCTGCGAAAACTCCGTGGGCATGAACTCTGTCATGAACAACAGAATCTCTCTTCCCGGCAACTTCATCTTTCCTTTTTCCCATACTAGCCAAGGGCACTTAAGAAGTAGCAAATCCTCCTTTAACATCATTCATAGGGTCTTGGAAACTGGAATTTTAAGCCAAATGACATATGACGAAAGTCAGTCCTCAACGTCGTTTGAGGAATTTTTTTTCTCTTCAACTGAATGATGGTGAGTGAAAGGATTTTGTTCAAGAACCCCCTGTATTTCCTTCTCTATTTTTTTAATCCTTTCTCCTATATGTTCTTTTTAACAGATAGATTTATGCCGTATGCCAGGGGGTTTTGTTTGTATAGTTTATTTCTGCTCCTCATTTTTGCCAGCATTGGATGTTGTCGGGGGTTTTGAGTCAGATGTGTAGCGTCCTATTAGTTGCAATAGCTGCACACTTTTATGCCCACCACTGTAATTGTCTCCGTGCTTCTGCACGCAGACACTGGAGCAGGAGCCGAAGAACTTCATATTTTCTGCCCTGTAGAGTTCAAGGTGATCTGACTCTTGATATCTGGCCAGTGTGGATTCCTGGCCATAGTCAAAAAGAATCACTCAGCCAAGCTGTAATCCTTTCCTTCTCTGCTTTTAACCCAAATGTTCCTGTTTACTGTAGGACCCATGGAAGGCTGCCGTGTGTCCACTGTACATCAAACCCTCACATAGTTCTGCTCAGTCACCTAAAATTCCACCACTCCACAGGCACATGATCCAAGTCCCCAAATAGTTAGAGACACTTTGCCCCTGCAGCAAGCCCCTACAGGCTTGCTGACCCCCAGCCCGGGGTGGGGACTCTCACTGCCCCTACCCCTTCCAAGTACAGCAAATTACTTGTCATCGTCCTGTACTCTGACCTATCGGCCAGAGATCCAGACTCAGTGGGGGTGTCCCCATCTTGGTGGTCTTTGGAAAAAACTCACATTAACAGTGTGTTTGTTTATCTGAAGATCAAATTTAACTGTGTGTTATCTGGCAGCCCTCACTACCAGCAAGAGCACCGTAAGACAGAGACCAGTGATTCACTTACATTGGTCCACTGTTTCGGGAGGCCAAGGATGCTGGGCCGCAGCTAGATGCTGCTTGTCCAGCACTGTGGGCGAGTCATAGCACTTTGCATAGTTTTCTCAACAGTAAAGATTTGGTTAAAAATCAAAAAAGCCCTGCCCTGCCTCCCTCACAGGGCTGATGGGAAGGCAATGAGATGGCAGCTGTCCCAGAGCTTTGATGACATAAAGGGGAAGCGTGGGCAGTGCGATACTGGGCCTTGGAGAGAACAGGGGATGGGCAGGCCCTGTCCTACTCGCTGTCCTCAGACCCTTAGCCTCTCATTTTCTTTTTTTTCTTTTTTTTTTTAAGATTTATTTTTTATTTATACAAGAGCTGGGGTATAGGCCAGAGGCGTGGGAGGGTGAGAGGATTCACCAGAGACAGAGCGGGGAACAGAACAGGCAGACTGACTGAAATACACTGCTGAGGGGAGCAGCGGGCGAGACAGGAGAGTTCTGCTGTGTCATGTGGGAATCTCCCCGGCCGGCCGGGAATTGAACCCAAGCTGCAGAGGCTGCAGACAGCTTCACAGTGCTGACCGCAACCCGCCGCAACCCGCTGTGCCACCAGGGAGGCCATTTTTCTTTTTTTTTTTTTTTTAGATTTATTTATGCAGACCTCCCCTGGTGGCGCAGTGGTTGAGCGCTGGGTTGTGAGCCGCAGTCTCTGCAGCGCCGGTTCGTTCCCCGGCCGCCGGCGAGGGTCCCACAAAAAAAAAATAAAAAAGATTTATTTATGCATATAAGAGTTGGGGTACAGGCCAGAGGCATGGGGCGGGTGAGAGGATTCACCAGAGTCAGAGTGAGGAGCAGAATAGGCAGACTGACTGAAATCCACTGCTGAGGGGAGCAGTGGACAAGACAGGAGAGGTCTGCTGCACCATGTGGGTCACCTCTCTGGTCGGGAATTGAACTTGTGCTGCAGTGGCTGGCGATAGCTTGATAGCACTATCTTTAACCCTTGCGCCACCAGGGAGGCCCCCTTGGGCTCTCATTTTCAGAGAAGACTTCATGTTCTTTCCATTGACCTATCAAGCACAAAGGGATGAAGCAGAACTCTGAAGTGATTTCGGGTAGCCCAGCCTCCCAGACCATGGCTGTGTTTTGAGCTTGACAGCATGAAGCAGCCACATCATCTTTCAGATTTACTGACCCAGCTACAGGGGCCGGGATGGCTCCTTTTAAATTCCCAAGTTTGTCAGAACCCAACTGCCAGGCAGGACATTGGCTATGTACAGATGCTGCCACTTGTGGGAAAGAGGTTCATTTAAATATATTTAAATAAATTTAAATGTTTGCTAGCACGTTGGAGAGTATCTCCAAAAGGATGCCCATGAGACTTGTCTCCGGCTGCCTTTGGGGACAGAGCTGAGTGGCTGGCAGAGAGTTGGAGAAATACGTCAATGCATCTCCTCTTGTCACTTTCATTTCTAGCTATGTGAATGTATTTTCTATTCCATAGCACACATTTAAATTTGTTTAAAGAAAGAAGAAGCACATGCAAACATGATTTCTAATCCATAGAAACTTTTGACAAAGACCCTTTAGGTACTGGCTAATTGTCACCAAGAGCCTTCCCACCATGGACCAGCAGGGAACACATAATCCTCTTTTCTTATCCCAGAGGGCAGGCTGCTGGGCAGGACATTTCAGTGCCTTGCCGGCCTGCTAAAGACCAGTGACAACAGCACCAGAGGCCTGTCTGCTCCCCAGGAGAAGGGGATTGTGCAGCCCTAGGCTGGCTGCATGGGTGATGGGAGTCCCAGATCCATTTCCAAGAATGTCTGAAACCTAATTCATATTCAGATTTCCTCATTATCCTCTCAACAGCTTTTATAAGTGGGGTTCCTTTTCCAAATCAGGGTCTGATCAAGGAATCTAGAATAGTTCCCCACCCCCTCTTTTTAAATGAATTTTTTGAGGGCAGGTCAGTTCTCTTAATAGATTCACCTCGATTATTTCCTTATGGTTTCATTTACTGCTGTCTCCTGTATCCTGTAATTCTTGAATACAGGAAGTTGTCCTAAAGGTGTGATTCATTTTGGCATATATCATGGATTTTGCTCTCTTTCTCGCACGGCTAAGCTGGATCCTCCGAAGGGTGGCTCCAAACAGGCACTGGATTCCACAGGAAGAGCTCACTCTCCTTCTGTTTGCCTTCAGATCCTTCAGCCTCTGGGGATCTTCTTCTCTCAGATGAGAGATTGGTTTACAGTTAGGGACCGGACATATTTATTAATTATATTAACAATAATAACAATTAGTAATTGACAATAGTGACGGTAATAATGACCACCATTCTGTGCCATGTTATTTTGATTTGACATGTTATAGGAGAATTCCCTTTAGTGTTCACGACAGTCCAATGGAATACAGGTGTGACCACACTCGCTGTGCCAAGGAGGCTGAAAGGTTAAATCCTTCCGAGAGTTCGGCTGCCAGCCAAGTGGCTCCAGAACTCCTCCCAGCGTCCCATCCCAGATGGAACTTGCAAGTTCCTCAACTGTGGTATCTGCTGGGTTTCCTGGCAGACAACTGAATAATAACAGCACTTGCTCATGTAGCACTTACTGCGTGGCAGGGACAGTTCCAGGGGCTTTCCATACTTTATCCTCCCAGCAGCTCTGTGAGGATCAGCTCATGGATAAGGCAACTACAGCACAGAGAGGTTAAGTAGCCTGCCTGGGGCCACAGAGAGTGGCGGATTTGGCACTCCAACTCCGGCAGTCCAGCCCCAGCAGCCATGCTCTTAGTCACTGTTGTTTAGCCAAAAAGGGATTTATGGAAGGCCATTAGGAAGCTCCTAGGATCTCTTAGAGGGCCGGGGACCAGACTTCAGGCCACATGGCCGGGACCAGTGCCCAGATCGCATGGTTGCTGCCAAACAACAGCCAGTGGCTCCCACCAGGGGCGGCAGGAGCCTCATCTGGGAAACTCCAGTCACAGGAAGGTGATGCCGCAGAGCACTGTGGGGTTCCAACCCCCGGGAGAGTTGTGGAAACCTCTGGAGGGCGTTGAAATCGGCACCCCAGATTCTAATGCTCTTGCCCCCAGGAGACTATATTCGATGCCAGGTGCAAACCTGGATTAAGCAGTATCGAGCATCGGAAACCAGCACCATCCCTGCGATGGAGAGGCTGATCGAATGGCTGCCGCTCCACCTGCCCAGGCAGCAGAGGACCTCGGTGGTGCACGGGGACTTCAGGTAGGCGCTCGAGGAGGGTGCAGATTTACACGCAGCAAGTAAATCCCCTAACACTGCGCCTCCTGTGCCGGGCCTGGGAAGGCGAGGTTCTCAGCCTCAGCCCCTGTGGCCTGCTTCACGATGGGGGGCTGACCTGGCACCTGAGGCAGCTGTTGCCACCCTTAGGCCTGAGTGTAGGCATGGGCTCCCATCACTCCTGGTGCACAAAAGGCATCTCCCAAGCCATGTGGCAGAAATGAGGACAATTGTTTTGCTCACAAACCTGCAGCGTGGGGACAGGGCAGCGGTTTCCCCTGGGCAGCTCTCAGGCTGGGTCTGGAGTCAGCTGCAGGCTCCGGAGTCACTCAGCACCTCTTCCACCTGCAATAGATTGTCAGAAGGGAGCTGCTTCAAGGGACTTGACTTGGAGTCTACCTTTTGTGGTGGGAGCGTCTGAGAATTTGCAGAGCTGTTTTAAAACCATCCCAGGGAAGGCATAGTTACCAGAATCCAGAGGGGGGCAGCTGCATGCAGACGGGGCCTGACCAGAGCTGTGGCCCAAGGGGAGGAACAGAGCTGCCCTCAGCTATGTGCTGAGAGGAGCTGGGGGACTGAATAGCTAGGCCTCCTCCCATCTCCCGCTCTCATCCTCATCTGCTGAGCCCAACGGGGCCTGAGCGTGGGCAGTGGACAGACGACCTGTGAGCTCGGGCCCCCGGGCACAGGCAGGCTGGGGAGTGCACTGAAGGGCAAACACAGCCAGCCAGCTCAGAGGACATCCTGCTGGTCAGTTTTCTCAGAGCGGCCTCTGTCCCTCCTGTGACCTCTCCAGGCTGGACAACCTGCTCCTCCATCCAGAAAAGTCCGAGGTGCTTGCTGTCCTAGACTGGGAACTCTCTACCTTGGGTGATCCCCTGGCGGATGTGGCCTCCAGCTGCATGATTTACTACCTGCCTTCTAGCTTTCCTTTGCTGCAAGGTAGGGACTGTGGGTGGGGGCCGGTGCGGGTGGGGGGTGGGGGTGGTGGTGGTGAGGGAGGATGGGATGGAGTCAGCTCCACTCTCAAAATGTTGGGCGGGGGACGTAGTGTGTGATTGGGCTGGTGTGTAAAATTGAGGTGCTGGCGATTTTGTTGGAAAATGCAGTTGAAACGCTCTCCTGTGGCAGTGGGGGCAGGGGTGGTGTGGGTGGGAGGAGCATGTGTTGGGCACCTCTTATGCTTTCAGCCAACTAACTTCTATTTCATTTGAAAAACAAAATACACATTTATTTTAAAATTTTAGAAAAATTTTAGAGCCCACAGATGACAAAAACTGTTAAAGCCCTCACTAGTTAGTTCCGTTTCATCTTGTCATTCATTTTAATGAGTCGCCATCCTGTCCATTTTTAATGGAAAATGTGATTATGTAATTTTATGCTGGCTGATTTCCTCTTAACTATATACTCTGGGCTTGTTTTCATGCCATTCAGTATTGTTTTTTCTATGGCATCATTTTAAATGACAAGATAGGATTTATTGTAGAACTAACTTAATACATTTGGTTTGGTTCCTATATTGGATATTTAATTTGTTTCCACTCTTTTTTAAAATATTACCTCTCCCCTGTGCCCACAAAAATGCAGTAACTATCTTTGCCTATGTTTAAGGCTTACTCCTAGGATCATTCCCAGGACTGGAATGTATTACATGCTCTTGAGCCATGAAAACATTTCAAATGAAGAAAAGCAGGACTTTTTTTATTTGTTGTAATATCTTTTTTGTAATTTGGTGGGATCTTTCTTTCAATATCATTTTTTAATGGAAACACTGATGAGAACTAATACGCCTCCGTCCTGAACTGTCCTCCAAGTGGAACTGAAAGCCTCATTCCTGGCTTTACTGCCCATTCAGTGTGAAACTTTTAATTTTTTTTTTTCAGTCTGCAACTTTTTAAAGCCATTTGTGAATAATAGTTTCAAGCCTGGATTCCAGCCTCCCGTGGGAGGCAGAACTATGGAAATACCTCGTCAACCCTTAGAACTCGTTGGAAGATAATTTGCAAGGAATGAACAGATTTTAGGAATGTAAATACTCACCGGCCTCAGAGAAGCAGGGTCACTGACAGCCGGGGCGGCTCTGTCTGTTGCCTCAGGTTTGAGTGACTATGACTTGGCTCGGCTGGGAATCCCGACTGCAGAGGAATACAGCAGGATGTACTGTGTCAACGCGGGCATCCCCGCCGTAGGGAACTGGAACTTCTACATGGCCTTCTCCTTCTTCCGCTTGGCCGCAGTTCTGCAGGGAGTCTACAAGCGCGCGCTCTCAGGTAACCGGCCGGTGTGGCCGCAGAGGGCCCGGCTTAGCCAAATTCTCTAGGATTAGTTAATTCTACCATTTGCCCTTAGGTATGTGTCCTATATGTACAGTCTTTAAAATATTTAAACTAGTTTTCAAATTTTATTAAAATATCGTACCAAAAATTTTCAAGTGAAACCACCCAGGATAGGGGATTTATTGCATCAAAGAGAATGAGGAAAATGCTAAAAATCATGCGGGCAATGTGGCTGGGAGTCCCCTGTGGGGACCAGCAAGGTGCGAGTGAAAGACGCCGCGTGGGAGTCTACGTAAGGTGTGTGTTTACCTGCTGTTCCAGAAAGGACACGGCGGGAACACAGGTCAGTGTTGCCGGGGGCTGGGGCAGAGATTGCGTGCAAAGGGACCCTGTGGAAACTCAGGGTGACGTGGGCACCCTGTATCTCGACAGCAGAGTGATGGTTATCTGGGCCCGCGGAACTGCACACCGAGCAGGGCTTGTGTGTGTTGTATCTTAATGTAAAAAATTGTCAGGGTGACGTATTAAGGAAAGTAGAGGCAGCGCACGAGGCGAGGGTGTGTCCCCCAGGGCTGGTGATGGTGTTGATGGCCACAGAATGGCTCCCAGAAGCTGGCAGTTAGTCGGCCGCCATGGCTGGTGCGGCCCTTGTCCTTTCCTAGCCGGGCCCGTCTAGGGTAATGTGGGGTTCTCCTCTAGCCCATGCACTGCCGGCGGCAGAAGTGATTTGGGGGCCTTCTGGATTTAGTTTAGTTTCTTTAGGACAAGAAGAGGAAAAGAGCAGGGAGCAGGCTGAGCTGCCCCCCGGCTTCCGACCCTCTGAGTTCGCTCGGGCGCTTCTCCTCCAGACGCAGACCCCGGCTGTGAAGTGGGGGTCAGGGCAGCGTACTGCTTTGGGAACTCCTTGAGCTGTAATAACACTCGCAAAGCCCGCAGGCCGTGTCCACTTCGTGGCAAGTGCTCGGCCAGCGCAGTGGCCGCTGATGTAACACAGCGTCACTCCTTTGCGCTAGCGTGAAGGGTGCTTGGGGACTAATCACTGTTCTTCGCCTCCCCGTAGGACAAGCGAGCTCGGCCACCGCTGAAGAGAGTGGGAAGGTGATCGAATTCCTGGCTAACCTGGCATGGGACTTTGCAATCAAAGAGGGCTTCCGAGTTTTCAAAGAGATGCCAGCCACAACGCCATCAGCGAGGTGGCACCACACCCTGGCTGGTCCGCAGTCCCTGTTGAGCCCCCCCGGCACGAGGAGTTACAGCTCCCTGCCAGGACCTGCCCCGACCCCAAAGGGCGGGCTGGTCATCTCTCCAGAGGGCCTGTCCCCCGAGGTCAGGGCGTTGCACCAGCGACTGCAGCAGTTCATGGAGCAGCACGTGTACCCCGCTGAGCCTGAGCTGCAGCGTCACCAGTTCTCCGCAGAGAGGTGGACCCCGTCCCCGCTGCTGGAGGACCTCAAGGTAAAGCAGCCTGAGTGTCACTAAGACCCTGGTAGCACGGCGGACCCTCAGCCTGTCCAGCAGGCACATCTGTGCCCTCCCCTGGGTGAAGGGACAGGACAGTCGAGTGGAATTCTCTGCCTTCCATCACCTCAGGCAGGGAGTGCAGCCCGGGCGGTGGAGGCGGTGTCTGTGGCTTCTAATCCTGCACGGGCAGGCTTATTTTATGCACATTGGAATTCTTTAAACTTGAAACAGTGTGATTTAAAACCAGTGCATGTGTAAACAAAACAAACAAACCAGCAAACAAATAAATAAAGCATGCCTCTATTAAAAATAAATAAATAAATAAATAAATAAATAAATAAAACACATCAATTAGGGCCTCCCTGGTGGCCTGGGGTTAAGTCTCAGTGCTATCACCATTACAGCCTGAGTTCAATCCCCGGCCAGGGAGCTGACCCACATGCACAGCAGACCTCTCCTGTCTCGCCCACTGCTTCCCTCAGCAGTGTATTTGAGTAGATCCACCTGTTCTGCTCCCTACTCTGTCTCTAGTGAATCCTCTCACCCCTCTGCCCTATACCTCTAACTTATACTTTCTTCTATGCAAAAATAAATTAAAAATAAAAAAAGCACTGTAACCTGTTTACAAAAACAAAAACAACATAACAGTTAATAAAGTCTCCCTTTAAAGAATCCACAATATCAAAGCTAAAGGACCAAATCAATAGTGAGTTGTTTATGCTCTCGACGCAAGGAAACACCACTGAGGCCAATCAACAGAAACACCGCCTGATCTGTGTCAGGATTTGTCACAACTCACTTTAGTTTTAAGTGATTTCAGGTCTAGCAGCACATATTTCTGCCATCATCTACTTAAAAAAAAATAGCATTATTGGGCCTCCCTTGTGGCGCAAGGGGTTAGGATACAACCCTTGAAGCTACCCGCAGCCACTGCAGCATGAGTTCGATCCCTGGCCAGGGAGCTACCCACATGGTGCAGCAGACCTCTCCTGCTTCGCCCACTGCTCCCCTCAGCAGTGTATTTCAGTAGATCTGCCTGTTCTGTTCCCCACTCTGTCTCTGGTGAATCCTCTCACCCCACCCCCCGCACCTCTGACCTACACCCCGGCTCTTTTATGCATAAATAAATAAATCTAAAAAAAAAAACAGTAAAGGGTCCATTTTAAATAAACGAATGAATAAATGAATGAATAAATTAATAAATAAATAAAGATAGCTTTAGGACTTGGAGTTGGAGGTGGGATTCTCAGTTAGTGGGCACACGTCCTAGGCCCAAACATGCATTGCCAGGGAGCAGGGAGGAGGAGGTATCTGGCCCCCTCTTTCTGTAGTAGGAGACTCGGCCTGACCCCATGAAATGGATGCAGTGAGGGAGCCCCCCAGAATAAGAAAACGGCATGGTTCCTATGCAAGCAAGGTGCTCTTGTTTCTCTGTACAATTACTGTTTCTAGAGGATAAATTTTATGAAGTAAAAATACTGGTGGGCCTCCCCGGTGGCACAGCGGTTGAGCGCTGGGTTGCGAAGCTGCCCGCAGCCTCTGCAGCGACGGTTCGATTCCCGGCTGCTCCCCGGCCACCGGAGGAGGGTCCCACATGGCGCGCAGACCTATCCTGCCCCCCGCTGCTCCCCTCAGCAGTGTACTTCGGTCCTTCTGCCTGCTCTGCTCCTCGCTCTGGCTCTGGTGAATTCTCTCACCCTCCTGCGCTTCTGACTGTACCCAGTGCTTGTATAAATAAAAACAAACAAACAAATAAATAAATAAAACATGCCTCTATTAAAAAAAAAAATACTGGTCCAAGAATGAGACCATTCTATTAGAATTTTAATAAATAGTGCCATATTTTCACCAAAAATGTGTTTAGCCATCTGACCTTCCATTAGTAATGCGTGAAATGCCCTATCCCCCACATGCTGATTCACATGTTTAATCCCCCCACCTGCTAGAAGCCTGGCCCCTCAGCACAGAAGCATTAGAAAAGCAAATACTCTTGGAGCGAAACCTCCAGACTCTGAAATGCAGCCCAGGGAAGGCCTCTGCCAGTGACCATTGTGCATCTAGGTGCACCTGAGTGGGAATCACAGCAATAACTAAGATTTGGGGGCCCACTGGTAAAATTGTAGCTCATGGTTTTTATCCAAACTGTCATTACTGCCCACAAATGAGAAGCATTTGGCTACTTACAATGCATTCTACAAAGCCTGCAAGGTCAGCGTGTTGACCTGGATTTAAAGGCACAAAAACAGGGGCCTCCCTGGTGGCGCAAAGGGTAAGCACCGCACTATGAAGCTATCCACAGCCTCTGCAGCATGAGTTCAACCCCCGGCTGGCCAGAGAGAAACCCACATGGCGCAGCAGACCTCTCCTGTCTTGCCCGCTGCTCCCCTCAGCAGTGTATTTCGGTCCTTCTGCCTGTTCTGTTCCCTGCTCTGTCTCTGGTGAGTCTTCTCATCCCCCGCATCTCTGGCCTGTACCCCAGTTCTTGAATGCATAAATAAATAATTTTTAAAAAGATATATTTATTTGTTTATACAAGCACTGGGTACAGTTAGAAGCGCGGGAGGGTGAGAGAATTCACCAGAGCCAGAGCAGGGAGCAGAGCAGGCAGAAGGACCGAAGTACACTGCTGAGGGGAGCAGCGGGCGGCAGGAGAGGTCTGCGCACCATGTGGGACCCTCGCCCTGCGGCCAGGGATCGAACTAGTGCTGCAGAGCTGCAGGCAGCTTTGCAACCCAGCGCCCAACCGCAGTGCCACCGGGGAAGCCCCATAAATAAATAAATCTTTAAAAAAAAATAAAGGAACAAAAACAGACTTGTCCAAGGACACAGCTAGATATATTAGCACCTGCATTCAGATCTGGATCTTTAGGGCTTCTGTGTTTTTCCTGCTCCCCCTACAAGGAGATGACTATATACATGCCCTTATTCTACCTCTTCTCAGAAACTCCTTGTTTCTACTTCTCCCTTCCCATCCTACTTGATCTGTCCCCTTAATCTGCCCCTTTTGTCCTTGGTCATTGCACTCTCAGTGAGTTAGCTTAATGCAGCGAAACAAATGCATGGGTTAATTTAGAAGTCTGTGACATTGAGACCAGGCCCAACATAAATGTAAAAGTCGGGGCAGCTGGCGCCCTCCCGTGAGAAGCGAGGACGATAGCCATCAGCACCAGGGCTTAGTCAGTCCCGGCTTCGCTGTCAGGCCCCTGTATCCGCTTTTTTTTTTTTTTTTTGTGGGACCCTCGCCTGTGGCCGGTGATCGAACTGGCGCTGCAGAGGCTGCGGGCAGCCTTGCAACCCAGCGCTCAACTGCTGCGCCACCAGGGGAGGCCCCCGGGTATTCGCTTTGTTAGCTCAAGTGATTCATAACAACCGGATGAGGGGGGTGTTCTGCACATCGGTTAGAGAATGGGCTGCCTAGAGTCCATTCCCCTTTCTCTTGGGAGTAGCACCCCAAGTTTCTTTGGGAACATTCCCTCCCGCACTGTGCATGCAGGCTGCAGAACCATCAGTGAAGGTGCGAGCCCCGCCTGCCCTGGTCTGACATGGGCATGTGAGCCAGCGAGGCCACTGACTTCCCTTCCTGGAACTGGAGACGTGAACAGTGTTTTCAAGACAGAAAACAGTTGGCACTCATTCACTGCACAACTGTGGGGCTCCTGCAGGCCTGCCGGTGGACAGCCTCTAGGCTGTCGGGTTCCTGTTCATTTCTGAGCTTTGTTCTTAAGTCTCTCTGTTCTTAAGTCTCTCTGCATGCTACTCATGTCGTCTGACAAAAGTCCGGGCATGGGGCAGATTTCTGAAAAATCAGGAATCTCGTTAGCTGACTCCAAGATTCTCCTCATTTGTTTATGGCTAGTTTCTACCATTGCTAAAAATACGCATTTAAAAGTAAAACTGCAAATACTGATCAATTACTGAATAACCAATTTGATGGTAAATGGCACTGCATGATACAAATATTACATTTTTTATAAAATTAGTCCTTCTCTGCCAAAAGGCAGCAATTCAACATTTGGCTTTACATTAACCAGTAAAAAAACTTCTGGAAACAAAAGGTTGTAAACATCTATCGTCCAAGTCTTTGATATAGAGATGTGGTCTCTTGAGGCAAGATCTAATTGGAGAAAGAAATTCCTTTACTTTAAAGTTAAAGATAACAGTTGGATGGCAGAGGCGAGCCATGCGCCAAGTATAAAAAAATTCCTGATAAACCAGGAGACAGCCATAGTTGACTCCTGCTAAATTCTTCCTGTTTGTTTAGGGCTAATTCCCTAGGATGTGACGATTGGTATGGTAGCTGTTAGAATGTGCATTCAAGAATAAGTCAACAGCAATTTGTGAATGGTTGAGCTAGTAATCACGGCAGCACAAATAACGCACTCGGAAATGGTCAGTGCTACAACTACTGATATGTCACATATTGACCATTTTTTTGAGGATCAAAGGCTATAACCATCTCCTGCTTTTGCCTCTGATAAAATATTTGTAGTTCCTTAAAACAACAACCAGCAACCTTATGGAAGAGAAAATTACCCCTTGATCTTAAAGTTAAATACGGAAACTAGACTGACTAGATAAGTGGAGGAGTGAATAGGTAGAAAACTCTGTTTAGATTAGGAGACTTCCTCCCCTAATTGAGAGTTGGGGGCTAGGGAAGAGTCAGTGCGGCCTGCCTGGCATGAACGCCCTCCAGGCCCTTGGTTCCTTAATATCAAATCAATATTAAAACAATATACTATAGATGATAATTTCTATATAAAAGCTTTCTGTTTTTTACTTTAATCAATTAGTTATATGTTAGTCTAAACTTTATAGGTTAGTTAGAAATCATCTCTTTGTCTCCCTTCCCCCAGGTAATCTCCTGCCTTGTTTTCCTCCAGCCCATAGTTAATCGTTCACCATGGCAAACTTAAAAATGTTAGTTGTCGGGCCTCCCCGGTGGCGCAGCAGTTGAGCACTGGGTTGCGAAGCTGCCCGCGGACTCTGCGGCGCCGGTTCGATCCCCGGCTGCTCCCTGGCCACCGGAGGAGGGTCCCACATGGCGCGCAGACCTCTCCTGCCGCCCGCTGCCCCCTCAGCAGTGTACTTCGGTCCTTCTGCCTGCTCTGCTCCCCGCTCTGGTAAATTCTCTCACCCTCCCGCGCTTCTGACTGTACCCAGTGCTTGTATAAACAAAAAACAAACAAACAAATAAATAAATAAAACATGCCTCTATTAAAAAAAAAAAGTTAGTTGTAGGCACATAGGCTTTTTGCTAGTAATAAAATAACTGTTAAATTGTTTAAAGTAAATAACTATTTTGAAAACATTTGTTTAGCAACCGTGCCTTCTCTAAGACAAAGAATAATAAATGCTACACCTCTGCCGGAAGGCAAACAGACCCTTGGCGGCTCCTGAAAAAGAACATGTGATGATTGTTATCTTCCTACCTTATGCTTGTGCACTCACGATTTGCTTAGTATAAATAAAGGGCTGCTGAGACCCTCAGCAGGATGATGTCAGCACCCTGATCAAGTGTCTGCGTCTCCTCATTCCCTCTCCCTCTTCCCTTACTATTTTTCTCTACAATTGCGCCGACGCCTTCCCATCCTTCAGGAACCCCTGACACCCAGACTGCTGCGGCTGGCTCGCAACATCTCTGTCCATTTTGAGAGCCCCGGTAACCTTCCCACTCCTAGTTCCTCTCAGGGAGCCACAGTCCATTTCCACTGCTGTAACTCGGCAGTCGTGCTGGCAGGGTGGCAGGGTCCCATTTCACAGATGAGTACGATCAAGTCCCTTGCCTGAAGTCTCCCAGGCAAGCTTGGGCGTGCTGAGTCTGAACTGAGGGCCAGAGCGCCTAACCCCTAGGCTGGCGTTCCTAGTTACCCAGCGAGGAGCTACATTTAGAAATTCCAGGAACAAAGTTGTCCCTCATAAAGGAAGCTGGTTCCGGGCATCTTCTTCCGCACCAGGCCCAAGCAGCCGGGGCTGAAGCACTTGTATCCACTAGGTCTTATCACTAGAGGCCCCATCATCCTCAATGGGCACGAAAACTTCACCACTAGGACAGTCACGAGGACAACAGCAACGCTAACAGTGCTGGGTGGCGGGGTATGCGGGGTACGCGGGGTGTCTGTCCTATGGAGACTGGGGGAAGTGACTGCTTGCTGGGTCACTGGAATTAGCCATCACTGGGTCTCCTAGTGCTTAGGCCGCCACAGCCTGCAGGCTTTCTGTCCAGCCCCCTAGCTGTCTGCCTTCTCTCCCAGCCCCTCTCTCACTTCCCACCGGGCTCTACTGAACTATTCACTGTGCTTCTCTGACTTATTTTTCCCGTGACAGGAGAAAGCCAAGGCCGATGGGCTTTGGAACCTTTTCTTACCCTTGGAGGCTGATCCCCAGAGAAAATACGGAGCAGGACTGACCAACGTCGAGTATGCACATCTGTGTGAACTCATGGGCATGTCTCTCTACGCCCCCAAGGTACCGTCTTTAAGGTCTTGTCAGCTGGGAGAATATCCGGGTCCTGCAAAAGCATACCTGCATTCTGGGCGCCCCTTTGATTCCCCCACCTGCCTCACGCTGGATGAGGAGCGCCGGTACCAACTTGAACGTCCAATGCGGGAGGACAGTGGTGGCTGGAGGCAAAGGAGGCAGTCCTGGGAGGCGCGAGGCTGGCTGGCGTCTGCGTGTCTCCTTTCTCTCGACCGCGAAGCCCCATGGCGGGGCTTCAGGGAGTCTCAGCTACTATATTCAAAATGTTGTGTGTCTTTGCACTTCTCTGGGGAGAGGGAGCATTACTTTGAGGGCATCAGAGACCTGTGACGTGGAAGGGGCCCCGGTCCATGCTTCCGGGGTTTTGACATTTTAAATTTGGACGTGGCGCTCAGCTGCTGTGCCTCCTTTTGTCCTTTTCAGATATTTAACTGTTCCGCTCCGGACACAGGGAACATGGAACTTCTGGTGCGATACGGCACCGAGCAGCAGAAGGCCCGCTGGCTGACTCCTTTGCTGGAGGGAAAGGCCCGCTCCTGTTTTGCCATGACTGAGCCCCAGGTACCTCACTTGGGCCGACACCCACCAGAACGCCTTCTTCTTGGGCCAGATATTTGCCAGGGCCCGCCTGCTGCACGGGGAACACAGCTTGCCAGCTCTGACCCGACATGCTCTCCCTCAGGTGGCCTCATCAGATGCTACCAACATCGAGGCTTCCATCAGAGAGGAGGGCGACGTCTATGTGATAAACGGACACAAGTGGTGGATCTCAGGTATTCGGTCTGAAATTCAGTTTTCCACTCCACTTCAGTGGGCCTGCGCTGGCCAGCGTGTCTCTCTGCCTGCTGTGGTCGGGGCAGCGGCAGGGCCAGCTCCATTTCCAGTTGACATAAAGGGGGTCTCTAGGCGACCCGGGGGGTCTACGTGGGCCACCACTTGCCCGCATGCACACTGGGGGTCTCTCATTCACTCCCTCCTCCTCCTTCTGCCTGCCTCGTCCTCAGTGGCTCCCCCCTCCCCCGCCCTGAATTCACCATCTTAGCTCTGCAGGGCCCCCCATCCCTGCCGTGGGGACCTCGGCTCACGGGGTCCTCATGGTGTGATTTATTTCCCCCATTTCACCAAGGAGGAAACGAGAACAGAGAAGTGACTTGAGCCACTTACTTAAGGTGCCAGTCCCCTTGCTAAGCAAGTAGGAGCCAGGGTTCAGGGTTCGCGTGATTGGGAAGCGCAGGCCCACAGCAGGAAGCTCATGCCGCTGCTGGGAGCAGAGCCAGGCCGGCGCCAGGGAGAAAGTCGCAGCTTCAGCCTCTTGTCTCTAAATTATATTTGCAGCTCAACACAATGCTATTTTTTTTTAATTGCTCTTATGAGGTTGGATTCAGTCCTCCCTGGGACAAAACCCAACTCTTTTTGTTCTTACTTCTGGTCAAGAGCCTGCCCGTACTCATCGGAGAATGCGTTGTTTTAAGGAGCTGTGTCTGCGTGCTGGCTTGGCCGTTCCCGGGCAGCCCTGTGTCTGGAAAGAGATCTGATGGCCCCGGCGTCAGACGATGGGCTCTGTTTCTCTCTTCCTGGCAGGCATCCTGGATCCTCGCTGCCAACTCTGTGTGTTTATGGGAAAAACAGACCCTCATGCCCCACGCCACCAGCAGCAGTCGGTGCTCCTGGTTCCCATGGATACCCCAGGGATAAAAGTCATCCGGCCTCTGACGGTGTACGACGGGCTGGACGACGCTCCAGGTTAGCCCCTGGGGCAGCTCAGCCCCGTGTGGGCCCGGGCAGGGCTGTGGGCAGCCCTTGCTCAGGAGACCTCCCCGCTCAGGCCAGGGTGACGTTCGGAGAGCCACGTGCTCCTGCATTTCATTCCCATTGTGAGTATCAGCCACAGAGGCAGACTTCAGACAGGCATCTGTACATTTTTTTTTCCTCTTCAAAACTTAGAAGAAAAGCAGGAATCTGTGAGAGAAGGAGGCCACACAGGACTGGGCAGGAGGCAGGATGTGCTCTCCAAACCTCCCTTCTGGACCCCGGTGGACGCCACCGCCAGGCCACGGCCTCTCACGGGGGCGCCTTCTCTCTCGAGGACGTCCACATTTTCACTCTCAGCATTTCCACAGGGTCACCGCTTTGTTACAGGCGCGGGCCACCAGGGAGCTGCAGCTTAAGGGAGAGTCTAACTTTATGAAAGCAGCGGCAGAATGTTCACTGGACATTGGAAAGCCATGATTTATTTCCCACTTTTAAGACGCTCCTTGCTGTGCCCTTCCCCCTCGCCATGTCCTGCTAGAGGCCCGAGTAATGAGCAGGAATACCGCCCGCGCGTGACCCGAGCCCAGGCAACGGTAAGACACCTAGGAGGGGGGAAGGCGGGGGCTCAGGAGGAACCCTTTGGATCTTTCAGGTGGCCATGGCGAGGTCCTCTTTGAGCAAGTGCGTGTGCCCAAGGAGAACATGGTCCTGGGCCCCGGCCGAGGCTTTGAGATCGCCCAGGGCAGACTGGGTCCTGGCCGGGTCCATCACTGCATGCGGCTGATCGGGTACTCGGAGAGGGCCCTGGCGCTCATGAAGGCGCGCGTGAGTGCTCCCCGGCGCGGCTCTGCCCCGGCCACCTGTCTGTCACCTCAAATCCTAACGGTTTCCCGGGCGCGGCCTTAGCAGGGCAGCGAGGTGATGTTCTTGCCGAGAAACCAAGAAACCAACTCTATTGTTGCTTTGCATCTGCTTCTTGCTGAAGTTTGAAATTCCGAGCAGAATGGGCCCCCAGAAGGGAAAGGCCAGGCTCTGTGGCAGCAGAGGGCAAGGTTCCCAGGCGGTGGCTCTTGTCTCTGGGGTTCTGCTTCTAGCCCTGTACCACGCTCCTCCCCCAGCATGTCCGACCGCCTCATTCAGCTGTGGCCCTCTCAAAAGTTGACACCCACGCAAAGGAGAGCTATTGCAGACCCTTGAGCTCAGACAAACATCTCCCAAGAAACTCTACAAAGAATGGGGGTGGTTCAGCGCTTTTGGATTTCTGGGCAAAGTTGCCATGTTTACATTCTTTTGAGCTGAGACAGACCACTTCTTTGAAAATCAAATGCTCCTCACTGAGGGCTCAGGTGTCGCACTCAGCCCCATCCCACACTGAAGCGCAGACCAGCCTCCCTGCTATGGGGCCACGGTGTCAGAAGCCTCCAGTAGGTGCGAGGTGTTGACAGGGCAGCTCTCAGGACTTGGTCACTGGGGAATAATTAGGAGCCTGCAGAAGAGCTGATGCTAGGAGGTGCATGGCCACGCGGACTTTATAGCAAGATGCTGGGAACAGCCTGTGAACCTGAAGCCTTGTCTGATATGCCTGGTACGGGCATGTGATGAAATTCCAAAGTCATGCTGCTGAAATCTATTTCTTAAATTAGAGAGCTGTTCACTATACACTCTTAAATGGGAAAAAAAAAAAGCCGGCTCCATATAGAACCCCATTTTTGTAAAAAAAAAAAAAAAAACAAAAATCCCCACATAGGGGGCCTCCCTGGTGGCACAAGGGTTAAGCACAGCACTATGAAGCTATCTGCAGCCATTGCAGCACGAGTTTGATCCACATGGTGCAGCAGACCTCTCCTGTCTCCCCACTGCTCCCCTCAGCAGTGTATTTCAGTCAGTCTGCCTGTTCTGCTCCCCACTCTGTCTCTGGTGGATCCTCTCAACCCCGCATCTCTGGCCTGTACCCCAGTTCTTGTATGCATAAGTAAATAAATCTTTTTTAAAACACACACACAGAGGTAGACACATACAAGAAGTCTAGAAGGATACTCCCCAAATATTAACTGTAAGGGATCAGATGATGGTATACCAGGTGTTTGGGTTATTTTTTGTCTGAAAATTGGTACTTTTTATGCCATAAGATATTAGTTTATAAAAACAACAAAAAGATTGCTTTATAACCTTCTGTGATTATACCCTCATGACTTTCAAGGACTCTAGAATCCCTGTTGCACTGGCAGTTGCCACAAGGGAGCGCTGGTACGCGGCTGCTGCCCCTGAGGGGGCCCGGTGGAGGCTGGGCCTATGCAGTCGGCAGAGGGCGCCCTCCCCTGCCTGTTGGCGGCTCCCGCGGTCCCTGCTCATTCCCAGAGTAGCCCTGGCTGAGATGCCAGCTCAGCTCAGACAGAACTATCCTGCCTGGCAGCTGCACCTGGGCTGAGGGGCTGAATCACCTAGTAAAAGGGTTCCTGGAAGTGATTTGTGCAGCCAGCTCTGCAGTGCACACAAATCTCAGCTGCTGGAGCTTCTCCCGGACCGGCTTGTGGCTGGAGAGCTGGCAAACAGGCAGATGGGCCACATGCTCCTGCTTTCACTCTCCCTCTCTTGCTGCCCTCTCCTGTGTGGCTTCCGTGAAGCTCCTCTGCAGCGCACTGCCCCAAGGCCACTCGCACGTGCCCCCTGTCCACAGGTGAAGTCCCGTGTGGCCTTCGGGAAGCCCTTGGTGGAGCAGGGCACACTCCTGGCAGACATCGCCCTGTCACGCGTGGAGATTGAGCAGGCCCGGCTGCTGGTGCTGAAGGCGGCCCACCTCATGGATATGGCCGGAAATAAGGTGGGACCCAAGGGGCTGCTTGAAGGGGCATCAGGAGTACAGTGAGTGGGAAGATGGTGAGTGTCTGGACTGTGCCCCTGGGAGGTCCTGAGGCCTGGAGAAGGAATCCATCCCAGGAATCTCTCCCACGCGCTGGTTCCTCTCCACTAAGCAAGCCAGGGAGAAAGAGCTTGGCACCTTGACTTTGGAAACTTTGCTTCAGTTCTACTTGGGACTGTTCGGGCAGCTTTTCAAAAGTGGAAAATGTACAGTAAAAGAGGCCTGAACCTTCTGTATTACTGAACCGCTGAATTCTGGGTCCAAGACAGGCCTGTTGGGGCCCCGGCCTCAGCTCCACTCCAGTTTGATCTTTCAGGCCCTGGTGCAGCCGTCAGGCAAACTGAGAGTAAGCAAGGGAATTAGTCAAAAGAGCAGCTTTATTTTCACTGGACATTATTCCTTAAACAGGCCTTTTTGGGCCCTTCTCACAGTCAGGCATGACACCATGCTGACCCCTGCTGCCTCCAGCTCTCCATGGCGCTGCCTTTGCCCCTCAACTGAGAGGCCTCACTAATGGGAGGCTATCCAGGCTCAACTTCCAGGTTCTTGGCACTCTAGTAGTGGATGTGGGGGAGGCTCTTGGGAGCCTCACTGGAATGTCTGGCCCAGGCAGATGCTTGAGGCTTGGTCCCCAGAGTTCCGGTTCACCTTGGTTCACTGTTGGGTTGGAGACCTTGTTAGATGTGAACCCCAGCGAAGCTCAGGCCACAGCCCCCTCAGCCTCTGTATGTGCTGGTGATGCTCATGTCCTTGCCCAGGCTCTTGCTCAGACCTCATGTGTCCTGGGTCACCTCATGGTCACCACCATTGTGCCCTCCACCCCCTAGGTTCCGGGCACCTCCTACGGATCAGGTAGGGACCACCTCATGGAGCTTGTGGTCCAGCAGGACCTCAGGCCTCTGTTCTGAGCTGCTGTTTCTACTCCTCCCTGCGAAACTGGTTTTTCTCCCAAGTGTCCTGTCCTCCTAAACACATCTTCTCCTCTTCCTTTTAGGCTGCAGCTTTAGACATTGCCATGATTAAAATGGTGGCCCCGTCCATGGCCTACCGCGTGACTGATCGTGCTAGTCAGGTGAGCAGACTGTGGTTTGTCTGAACCATTTACAACAGATGCAGAATCCTGCCCCATGTCCCGCTTAGGCTGCCCAGCCTCCTGTAAACTCAGCCGCCCTTGGTCACTCACTCAGGGCCCCTGTGATTTTCCTTTTCCTGCTCCTACCACCTTGCTGACTACGAGGAAACAGAGACACAGCACAGTGATGTGACTTGTCCACCCAAGTGGGCTCGCTTGCACTTTTGGGAATCTAGGGCCTTATTACACCAGAGCCCGGCCTCTGAAGCATGGCCACATGCCTCCCTTCCAAATCTAACCACCAAGCCCCAACATAGAGATTTTCTAGCAGCGTGTCACTTTGCAGTGCAAACATGGGGAGTCTGGCATCCATGGAACAGCAAGTGTGAAACCACCTGGAATCTTCCAGAACATTAATTATCACGTTGGTGTCAGGGAACACGGGGAAGATGGCTGCTCTGAGCCATTTCGAGCAGGCCCTCAGTCCGGGCTCTCAGGGCTGAGGCTCACCAGGACCTCCTCCCCCTGCCCTGTGTCTTCTAGGCCTTTGGAGCAGCAGGGCTGAGCAGCGACTACCCGCTGGCCCAGTTTTTCGGCTGGGCCCGAGCATTGCGCTTTGCCGATGGCCCTGACGAGGTGCACCGGGCCACAGTGGCCAAGATGGAGTTGAGGTACTGCATTTAGACCTGCAGGAGTGTGGGAGCCAATATCACTGCCCACCTGGCTGCACCCAGAACTTTAAATGATCCGCTTTGAGAGACCTGGTGGGTGTGCCCTGCCTGAGGTACCCTGCTCCCTCCTGAGACAGTGTGTGAACCCAGCCTTTTTGGGTTCTCACGGGAGACATCTCTGTGCGCTGCCTTGAGGTTGCTGTTTCAGGCAAGGAGGAAGGGGATCGGCCAGGGGTTGAGTGGGTTCCGTCCAGAGCCCGAAAGCTGGTCTTCAGCCTCTCGGTGACCCTCCATGGGCTGCGGTGTGAGAGGCTGTGGGAATCCGGCTGAACATGACTATCCTCGCTGGGTGGTGCGCCTTTGCTTGCTGCCCCTTGGGGCTCCCCCAGAAAGCAGAGGGGTGGCCGTGACGGGTTGTGACCTAAACACCCAAATAGAGCTCCTGGGAAAATGAAATGAAACCAACATACTGACGCCATCACATCTCTTTTCTTCACTTGAATGTTTACAACACAGAACACTGATGCTGTTTTGGAAATGGGCTTTGGGGACACAAGAGAATCAGAACGTACACCTTGGAGACGGTGAACTTCCTAGGTCACACAAAGGGAATTGAGAATAAAGGGTCACATGTCAGCCCTCTGTGAACACTTGCCTCCTCACACCTGTGTTTACAGGGGATCTTGCCAGGTACATGCATTTGTATTCAGGGTGCGGCAGGGTGGGGTAGATGCAGACGCCCCGAATCAGCCGCCTTCCACTGCTCGTGTCCCCAAAGGCCTCAGACTTTCTGGTGTGCGAGGCCCCTGCAGGGTCCAGCTGCTCCCTCCGCTCTCTAGCCTCGGGCTGGCCGGTGGAGGGGCAGCGAGGCAGATGCCATTGCCCTTGGAGAGCAAGGCGATCTTGGGGCTAGGTGAAAGTGCTCCCTCACTTGCGACCTGAGTTCTTCAAGAAACGGGTACCCCACGGGTCCAGGCAGCAAGCGGAGAGAAGCCACCATCTGTTGGGGCCGGGCTGCTAAGTTCATCCCTTGTGATGCTATGACCAGTGGCTGCCCATTTCAGGGCGGGCCAGATGGGCAGGAATCGGCTCCCTTGTCAGCTGCATTTCAGACTTGACCTCTGTGTGGAACTGACTTGCCCGATGCCCACCTGCTGCCACCGGGGCCCTGTGCCCTCAGTGCTTTCTGGGCACGAGAGGGTGGTGGGGGCCTTGCACCAGCGGGGTGGGGAGACAGGCCCTATTCTACCTCACTGTTGGTTGCCCATGAAAGGTTAAATCCAAACCCCCAAACGAACAGCTGTCACCCCGCAGCCACACTGGCAAACAACAAGCTCTCACAGCGGCCTCAGGAGGGAGGAGGTTTTTTGAAAGGAAGCCTTGGCCAGCAGCCTGGCTTATCACGTGGCTCTTAAAATTTCTCTCGTGGCCTCTGAGGTTAACCTGGGTTGTTCAATAGCACAGCTGCTGGATGAAAATAGAAGCTGGGCTGTGGGGTAACCCCACGTCTCCCTCAGAAGCTCTGCTACAGATGCTTAGAAAATGGCAGGTCACTGAGCCGTGGCCTCCAGCAGCCCCTCACTCAGGGGCTCTGGTTCTGTGAAATATCCCCACTCACCACTGCCAGCTGCAGCCCAGCCCTAGGCCTGGCAAGGTCTAGGCCTTGGGGAATGTGCGAGTAAGCAAAACAGGCCAAGCTGTATTCTCAAGTTGCTCACCTCTCCGGTGAGCATGTCTCTGAGTGCCCAAGACCAGCAGGTGGTTGGTGGGCACTGCTGGGCGGGTCAGGGAGTCGGCGCAGGAGGCACTTTCAGAAGAGGCACTTGAGCCAGACCCGAAAGACAGAACAGACCAGGGCACTCCAGAGAAGGAGCTGCAAATGCAGAGACTCTGGGGAGCAGCCCAGAGAGTGGGAAGTGCCAGTTACGCAGGGCCTCAGGGGCCGCAGTCAGGATTGGCACTGACTCAACACTTGAGCTTAGCCAAAAGGCCGAGAAGCCGTGTGATAGTTCTAAACGTGACAACACACTGTGTGTAGGTAGGTAATGGTGTGACATGACTTGAGTCCAAAATTTACCTGAACAAAGAAGGAATAAAGGAGGATCAGAGCCAGTCCCCAACATGGCAGAGAGCGCCAAAGAACCTCCTACAAGACCTTTTTAGAAAAGAAGGGTGGGGAGCAGGACTTTAAGAAGATGTGAGCAAAGGACCCATAAAATCAAAAGAAACTTAACGAGGTCATAATCTCTCTGCCTTCAGCAAACAACTGGCATTTCTGATGGCACAAATGTGGTGTGAGTAGGCACCACGTCTGCCCCTCATCATTGTGCCCCACTTGTGCATGCGTGCTGTGCACCCGTATGTGTGTGCGTGCGCACGCTCGTGTGGGTGTGAGCAGCCTGGTTTGTTAATGATGGTGCCTGACGAGTTTTATGTGTGGAGCACCATCCTGCGTGGCTGGACCTGTCTTCCCAAGCCCGTCTCGGGAAAGAAAACAGAATGAGAGCCTGATATACCAGCAATGTTCCCTCTCCCAGCGGGATTCCATCCCCAGCGGCTGTACACACTTCAGGGGGTCGGATCTCTATAGCATGGAGCTCTCCCCAGTGATCTTGTGACAGCCACAGGACCTCAGAGGTCAATCAAGGATGGACCTCTTGTTGGGGGGGGAATGCATTCATGCCCTCAAATATGGCACCCTCAAACCCTCCCCCATTTTCCTTATAGCAACTGTGGTCATCCCCTGACTAGGGAGCACCTTGGAATGTGCTGTGCTCCCCCAAGCCCTGATTTCAAATACTGTCAGGTAGTTCCAATAATGCTAGAGAGACTGAAAGAAAGGGACTGAATTCCCGGCCACCCACCTGGGACAGGGCCGTGGAGACAGGCTGGGAGCCTCACTGAAAGAACGGGCCAGTGCTCTGCACCACTCCCTCCAGCATCCCCAGTGGCTGCCTGGATACAGCCCCTGTCTATTATGGAGGACTTAAGAGTTCCCGGGGATCCTTGGGGATACCAGGGTTGTGTCACACTTGCCTCTTTGCCTTCACTGTGAAACCCGGCCAGGCCAGGCCTGAAGCACTGCCTGAGCATCTCAGGACATCTGGGTTGGCTTTTGTACTGCCCTCCACAGAGCCCTGTGGCTGGACACTCCCCCATCCATGGACCTCACCAAGGCAGGAGAACATCAGAGCAGAATGTCGGACAGGTCCCACACTTCAGCAACCTGGGGATCCAAACCTGTGATGTTTGTTTGATAAGTACTCTGGGAATAGAGTTTCTTTCCGTCAGATGGCAGAGTGGAGAAACAGCTTTGGGGAATTTTCTATCATATCAGCACCCATAAATAACAAAGGAGCCATCCCTAACTCCCCCCACCTGCCTCTCTCTGGTGAAATCTCTCATCACTCCCCCCCTCTGGCTTGCACCCCAGTTCTTGTATGCATAAATAAATCTTTAAAAAAAAATAACAAAGGAGCCATCAAAGATAAACAACATGATGGGGGCCTCCCTGATGGCCTAGGGGTTAAGTGTCAGTGTTATCACTTCTACAACCTGAGTTCAATCCCCTGGCCAGGGAGCTGACCCACAGGGTGCAACAGACCTCTCCTATCTCTCCCACTGCTCCCCTCAGCAGTGTATTTCAGTAGATCTGCCTGCTCTGCTCCCTACTCTGTCTCTGGTGAATCCTTTCACCCTCCCATACCTCTGGCCTGTACCCAGTTCTTGTATGCATAAATGAATATTTTTTTACAAAAGAGAAACAACACGGTAAGGACAGCTATTAATCAGTAACAATTACAACTGGGAGAGGGCCCCTTATGAACTGACCTCAACTTTCGTCTGTGTGGAGGCCATCTTAAAGAGAGAATGAGCGAGCAGGAACGCAGAATGTTGGGCTCGGACAGAAAATTTCCTGCTAAAGTTACAAAATGTGGGCAGCAGGGGCTGGTCCATGTGAAAGCTGCTTGTGTTTAACAATTGGTGCTTATGCAAATTCCATTCCTTGCCTCCCACAGAGGCTTGGAAACCAGGGTCTTATCTTGAGGTATTGGCTGAAACCAATGGTAGCTCTGTTGGGCAACCTTGAGTTTTTTGGGGCAAGCAATTTGCGGTAGTCATCCTAGGAGTGGGTCTTTTTTTTTTTAGTAAAGATTTATTTATGGGCCTCCCCGGTGGCGCAGCGGTTGAGCGCTGGGTTGCGAAGCTGCCCACAGCCTCTGCAGCGCCGGTTCGATCCCCGGCTGCTCCCCGGCCACTGGAGGAGGGTCCCGCATGGCGCGCAGACCTCTCCTGCCGCCCGCTGCTCCCCTCAGCAGTGTACTTCGGTCCTTCTGCCTGCTCTGCTCCCCGCTCTGGCTCTGGTGAGTTCTCTCACCCTCCCGCGCTTCTGACTGTACCCAGTGCATGTATAAACAAAACAAACAAATGAATAAATAAATAAATAAATAAATAAAGCATGCCTCTATTTAAAAAAAATTAAAAAAAAAAGATTTATTTATTTATGCAAGAACTGGGGTACAGGCCAGAGGCGTGGGAGGGTGAGAGGATTCACCAGAGACAGAGCAGGGAACAGAACAGGCAGAGAGGACTGAAAACACTGCTGAGGGGAGGAGCGGGTGAGACAGGAGAGGTCTGCTGCGCCATGTGGGTATTGCCCTGGCGGGATGGGAATCGAACCCGAGCTACAGAGGCTGAGGACAGCTTCACAGCACTGTGCTCAACCCACTGGGCCACGGGGGAGGCCCCTAGGAGTGGGTCTTGAGCTGCTAGAAACTGTTATTGTTTGTTCCAGACTTTTAATGTATGTGTGTGTGGTGGGGGGGAGGCGGGGAGAGAAGAGCGGAGGAACTAAATCACCCGTGCTAGAGTCTGCAGTTTTTAGGAGCCAAGGTTGAGGCTTCCTCAGGAAGAGGGCTTAGCAAAATCTAGCTGGTTTGGTCAAGGGGAGAATGTTTGTCATTAGGGTTCTGGATTCATGTGACTCTGGGTTTGAATCTTGGTCCCTTGTCAGAGTAGCTAGGCCACTTTGGGATATGATTTTCCAGCTCGTAGAGTTGGTTTCCCCATTTGAAAAATGGAGAGAAGAGCACTTCCCTCCCAGGATTGCCCGAAGAGCCATGAGATGACCCACAGCTCCTAAGGAGCCCGTAGTACATGCCAGTTTTCATGTCTGGGGGTGAATGTTGGTCAGAAGAGGCTTGCTTCAGCGAGATACAGGCCTGTGGGATTCACCAGGCCCGAGGACCAGCCTGGACAAGCTGTTTCCCAGACCACATTGTGCAAAGGAATTAACCTAGGGACCTGGCTAAAATGCAGAATGTTGAAGTGGAAAATGTCTCAAGTTATGTTGAGACAAAGCCTCAATGTAGCCTGAAAATTCCAGGGGGTAACTGATAAACTTTCTCAAGGTCACACACCTAACTTACACCCAGAAAACTGCTTAGAAATCTCCTGCTTCTGTACTCCCTGCTTGCTTCAAAGTGCAACATACACCCCTGCTTAGACAATAAATATTTTGCTGCCTAATTGCTCGGGGCTCAG